AGCACGTCCAGGGCAATCAGCGTGACAATGATAACAGCTGACAGAACTCCAGTGTGCTTCCTCCCTTCAATGATATAGTAAACCCACACGCAAGTCGCGCCCATGATGAGGAGAAGGGTCCAGTACTTCACTAGGTTCGTGGATGCGACTCCGCGGTCACCACCTAACCAGAAACTGATATCTTCTCCGTACAGCTCGTAGCGCAGGAAGTCTTGTGTGCCCTTGATGATGGAGTAGAGCAGCAGCGGCGCAGAAATGTAGAAGAGCTGCGTTGAGCGCCAAATGTTGTCCATGGAAAGACCGATCACCTCGTTGGCCTCCATGCTGGTCGACAGCGTGTAGCGCATGGAGGAAGCAATGATCATGCCCCAGCTCAAAACCTGCACCGCCAACATGAAGGAGAACATTCCCGTAGAGGAAAAATGGTAGTTGCGCTTTGCAAAGATGCTGTAGTAGTTGAAGCCAATCCTGAGATTCCAAGGCTTGCGTCATTTTGGCTGCTGCTAGCTCGCTTTTTGCATGGCAAGTTGATTATGCAGGTGGGTGGACAGAGCATAACATGTCAGCCTAGAATCCAAAAGAATGCGCTCCAAAACCAAATGAAGTACGTCAGGTTGTCCATGGAAATCAAGAGCCGTCCCCACCATCTCATCTCATCTGGCCACGTGATCGGCAGCTTCAGGCCGCATACCCGCTGAATGAATTTGAGAAGCTCGGTAAGAACGAATACGAGGAACATGAACAAAACCAGGCTGACTACCCAAACGATGAACTGCAGAGTCATGGTCACGTAGGTTTCAAAAAGTTCAGGATTCTGCTTGAAGTACACGCTTCTGGCGATGACTTCCAAATTCTGAAGCCAAGACACAAGCGGCTCCATGGTTTGCTTGTACCAGCTTTCATCCACCAAGCCCCACTTGACAACTTCCCAGGTCGTGTCAGTCTTGCCGACGAGGCGGAACAGCGACGCAAGGAAGCAGAAGAAGAAGATCAGCGTGAACCAGACCATGTACACGCCCTTGTGACAGCTGAAGAACGTTTGCAAGGACAGGACCACTCCTCCCTCAGCCCAACGCTGCACAGCTGCCAGGTAGTCAATAGGGTTCTTGGCCATACCGTAGGACAATCTGCGGTTGATGAACTGAGAGCGCCGACCTCGAAGCACTTGCTGCAAACTACTTGCCGTGTCCTCGACCTTGCAGCTCTCGTGGAAGGTACGGCGCTCAACATACTCCTGGCTCTTGCGCTTGCTTTCTGCATCGCGCACACGCCTGCGCTCCTTTTCCCACACCAAGTCTCCCTGTGGATGTTTAATCATCCAAGTGCCGTTTGTTCCACAGGAGCTAACACCGCCACAGCAGTTTCGAATCATGCAATTCAAGCGGAAGAACTGCGCATTGTTGTTGTCCAGGTAGTCCAGCTTGTCCTGCATCTCATGGAAGAACTGAGGACACTGGGTGAAACCAACGTAGGGGTTAAGCTCCATGTCATCGTCAAAGAAGTAGGGGATGGTGCTGTGGAAGAAGTCAGTTTGGAACTGATGTCTCGCATCGCAAATGCTGTATAAGCATGGAAAGTTGTCCCTCTCATCACCGTACATGTTTTCTGGCTTGTCTGCATACAGGCACAAATAGTTCTCGGAGAAATTCAGTCCTCCTGCCTTGCCGCGGCTGGTTCGGAGAGGCACATTGTTCATGAAGGGGTCATCATCCTCCATACCATACACCATTTCACGAGCCTTTGCACGCAACTTCAGCCAGTCCTTGTTTTCGGCATTCTGGGGGACCTTGTAGTACCAGGTTCCGGGAGCCACATGCTGTGCCTTGATGGTACGCTCATCTTCCATTGGCTTCGCGCGTGCTAGGTAGTGCAGGCGCAGTGCCAGGCTGTTGCGGTCCTGGGGCTCCCAGTCGGCCACATCATCCAAGTGCAAGTCCTTCTTCTCCTTTTTTGGATTTTTGAGATCGTCCTCGAGACTCTGCAAGGCAGCCTCGAGAGACTCAAAGGCTTGGGGTGGCATTGAGCCCCAGCCACCCTCTTTCCTCAGCTTGCGCAAAGCACTTTTACCACTCATTCGAGCCAGAATCTCTGGCTCAACCTCACCAGGATAGCCATCCTTGAGCTTCGCAAGGTCCATCTTTTTGGTATCTTCCACCCATTGCTGGAAGAAGCGGCTAACATTTTCTTCGTAGCTGGCACCTCCAAAGTTTGGAAGCCTCTCAATGACAGCAGCGAGCTTTATGAACATCACCTTCTGCTCAGCTCGGTGGCCCTCATCGACGAAGGCGACATGGTACCGGCACCTGCAATCCTTTGGCATGCAACCGATGGCGCCAACGATGTTCCGCAACACTGTGCACTTGTTCTCTCCCGCACTGGGAACAGTCACAACTATATACCTCAATGCCGCAGTAAGTTCTGGATCGTACCGCCGGAAGTGCGGATATGGCGAAAACACGCCTGGGCAAAGCATGACGGCCTTCACTCCGAAACCAATCAGCAGCACATAGCAGAAGAGCCAAACAGGTGCCGTCTGATTCTTCTCGTACCCGACATACCCAATGAGGGCCGTCTCATTGATGTATCCATCCTTAGGTGCAGGTAGATTGAATAAAGATCTCCTTCAGTAATCTAAGCTGCTGAAGCCGAAGCCCTGACTGCAGGCAGGATTCTGCGCTGCAATTAGCCAGCGGTTCTTCGTCCGACTGGCAAACGTGTGCACAGCGACCTGAAACAGCAACACAGCGGTCGTTGAAAGGTGGCGGGGCTGCTTGCTGGCCGGGCTTGAAGCGGTCGAAATCATCCTCGTAAAGGCTGCTGTTGACGGCACAGGCCACCAGGTAAAGTGGTCCCTGGCGACCATAGCACCAACCAGGGTCAATCTCCAATCGATTCAATTGGTTTAGCTTCATTGCATGCTTGCTTACCGGGTCCTTGATAGGCAAGCGTTCCTCATCATACTCGTTCTCTGGCCGTTTAATGAGCGGCTGGCCATCTTTGTCTACAACAACTGGAGGATCGGTTTTGGGATACTCTCCATAGAGTTTTTGCCACTTGCCGCGCTCGCGTGCTGACTGTAAGATGAACACACGTGGCTGGCTGAAGACATCCGTACCTTCTGGGACAGGCATGTCACTGACGGTCACCCTGAATCGGGGGAGCGAAGTGTAAAGAACTTGGTCTTTTGATGCCTCACTTGTTTCTGGATCACCGCCGAAAGCTGAAGAGCCACCACCAGAACCCGTGCTTCCTGTGCCAAATCCTGGTAGTCCACTATCAGGATCGTCTAGGCCAGGAAGGCCAGCAGGCAAACCACCAATGCCTGGAATGATCTGCAAACGTCGAAAATCCTCCTCAGTTCTCGGGTCATACAAGCACTCATGGCATTTCCAATGCTGGAAATTGTCCGTGGCTGTCTCGCATTCACCTGGCAGCTTACTCATGCACTGCTTCATCTCGACAATTCCCTGGAAGTTTGCCGCTGGAATCTCTCGCCCAGCCACCGAGGATGAGGTCATCTGGATGTTGCTGTCCGCTGTGCAGCCCTCTAAGAGGTCAGAATTCAACACGGAGTCGCAGGTCCAACCACAAACCCCACCCGCACCGTAGCAGTATGTTCCCAGGGCTGCATCATCGAGTTCCTGGAGCCTCTCCAGCTCGGCAAATGTGTCAGGGCTCCATACCACACATGCCAGCACGTACAGGCCAGACTGTGGAGTGACCTTGACATCTGTAGGAGGTCGAATGCAGGACTCCGTGTCATATGAATATGCATGTCCGGCCGCATCTGTCCGCGCGCGCCAGAAGGGAGATGGCCAAGCATGGCGTCTGTCAGCAACAACCCACCAGTCATTGAAGTCTGCCGAGGCCAGCAGTACAGGGTAGACGGTGTGGACATAGCCCTTGGACAGCGCTGAGTGGTTCAACGTAAGAGACACTCTGAAGTTCATCTCATTCGTCCTGTATCCACGCCAGGATGAACAAGAGTAGTTGCAACTCTCCGGATCTCTGGGCAGCGGGGAAATCTTGATTGCATGGGAATTCCCACGTTGTTCAGCCAGGTCCTGGCCATGAACCGCAGCTATTGCTGGCCATTTGGGATACTTTTCATGCCAGTACTGCGTTGGCATTGGGTTTGTTACCAGCCACTTCGTCCAGAGTGGGAAGATGACCAGAAAGATCAGGAACTGGCACACGTAGAAGCAATGGCAGCAGCAGGCTGCCGTGAAAGCCGGTGCACAAGAACCTGAGCGGAATGACTTACTTCACCTGAAGTGGAAATCACTCCTGCTAAGTCAGACGCTAAGCCAAGAACGGCGTTTCTTCAAGCCGACCAGTGTCTGGTTCTCTGTGCTGTCATCATCGAATACGTCATCCTGCACCTGTACTTGGTGGGGCTCAACTCCTCAGAGGCAGGTTCAAGCATTGGCTCATCTGTTTGAGGCAACACGGGGCAAGACCACAGCTAAATTTAACCAGGCAGCCATAGATATCACTTACCTCACTCTGCATGTCCTGAGCACCCACACTCTCAGCTCACTAGCGGCAACAGTTTCAGCCTTCGTGCCCATGTAAATGCCACGAAGTTGCTGCAAGCTGCCTGGCCGCCAGCAAAATCACTTGAGCAAAAAGCGACGGCGCAGCACGGAATCGCTATCCTTTCGCATGGCCATGTTCAACGTCCTGAAGTCAGCGCGATGCACGGGACCCTGTGCAATACAGAGGTGATGACTGCCCAAGAGCGTCTTTGGCCATTTCCATACAGCGGATGGCGTGCATTGTCTTGTCACTCATTTAAAATGGGCAAGGGTCTAAAGTGCGGCAAAAAGGATGCAAGGTCTGAATTTGGCCGGATGTGGAACTGGCTTCTGGAATAGACAATCATATCGGCATACGACAAAGCCAAAGACATGTACAATCTTATACACGTGTTGGCTATCTTCCCTTGCCCCCAGCTGAAATCGAAATCGAAGCTTCCCCTCAGAGGTCGTAGCTGCAGTCTAGCGATTGGTGGTGGATCCAATCATCATGAAGGCTTGGTTCACTCCAATGTAGGGCATGAAGAGCACGAGGAAAGGCATGAGCACAAACCATGCAGGCCCCAGCCACTTGAACACGCCCGTGACGGTGGGGTTCAGAATTAGCCTCTGAAGCATCAGCTCCCACCATCCGCGGGTCACCAGGGCTTGGCTCCATGTAAGCTTGGCGGATTTTTCTTTGGTCATCTTTGTGCGACCCACCCAAAGGTACGTGCATGGGTGGAGCACGTCCAAGGCAATCAGGGAAACGATGAGCACGGCAGACATGACTCCTGTATGCTTGCGGCCCTCGATGATGTAGTAGATCCAGGCGCCCATGGCCCCTAGGATCAAAAGCAACGTCCAATACTTCACCAGGTTGGTAGACATCACACCACGATCTCCACCAACCCAGAAGCTGATATCCTCTCCATACATTTGGTATCTGATATAATCCTGTGTGCCCTTGATGATGGAGTAGAGCAACAGCGGAGCGGTCATGTAGAACAACTGCGTTGAGCGCCAAATGTTGTCCATAGAAAGTCCGATGACTTCATTTGCCTCCATACTGGTTGACAGCGTGTAGCGCATGGAGGAGGCAATGACCATACCCCAGCTCAAGATCTGCACAATGAGCATGAACGTGAACATGCCCGTGGAGGAGAAGTGGTACGTTCGCTTTGCGAAAATGCTGTAGTAGTTGAAGCTAATCCTAAGAACAGGCTACAAACAAGTTCTGGCGCCTCTAGCCATGCTTGCTGGCCACTGGCGAGCTTGCAATACTACTTCAGCAACTAGACCATTCAAGGGAGTATTCAAGCCAAGGAGCCAGAAGAAAGCTGTCCAAAACCACAGGAAGTATGTCAAGTTGTCCATGGAGATCAGCAGTCGTGCCCACCACCGCATCTCATCTGGCCAAACCACTGGCAACTGCAAACCACATCGGCGCTGGATGAACTTGAGCAGCTCGGTGAAAAGGAAGACCAGTACTAGGAAGATGATCAAGCTGACAACCCAAATGATGAATTGGAGCGTCATGGTCAAGTATGTTTCGAGCAAATCAGGATGCTGCGCAAAGTACTCGCTCTTGGCAACCAGGGCGAAGCTTCGCAACCAGCCGATGACCGGCTGCATGGTCTGCTTGTACCAGCTTTCATCTACCAAGCCCCACTTGACAACTTCCCAGGTCGTGTCAGTCTTGCCGACGAGGCGGAACAGCGACGCAAGGAAGCAGAAGAAGAAGATCAGCGTGAACCAGACCATGTACACGCCCTTGTGACAGCTGAAGAACGTTTGCAAGGACAGGACCACTCCTCCCTCAGCCCAACGCTGCACAGCTGCCAGGTAGTCAATAGGGTTCTTGGCCATACCGTAGGACAATCTGCGGTTGATGAACTGAGATCGCCGACCTCGAAGCACTTGCTGCAAACTACTTGCCGTGTCCTCGACCTTGCAGCTCTCGTGGAATGTACGGCGCTCAACATACTCCGAGATCTTGCGCTTGCTGTCCGCATCGCGCACACGCCTGCGCTCCTTTTCCCACACCAAGTCTCCCTGCGGATGTTTAATCATCCAAGTGCCGTTTGTTCCACAGGAGCTAACACCACCGCAGCAGTTTCGAATCATGCAATTCAAGCGGAAGAACTGGGCGTTGTTGTTGTCCAAGTAATCGACCTCGTCCTGCATCTCATGGAAGTACTGCGGGCACTGTGTGAAACCGACATAGCGGTTCAGCTCCATGTCATCGTTGAAGAAATACGGAATAGTGCTGTGGAAGAAATCCGTTTGGAACTGATGTCGTGCGTCGCAAATGCTGTAGAGGCAAGGTGCGTCATCGCGACTGTCACCATAAGTGTTCTCTGCCTTGTCTGCGTACAGGCAAAGATAGTTCTCTGCAAAGTTCAGACCTCCAGCCTTTCCACGGCTGGTCCGGAGTGGCACGTTGTTCATGAAGTGATCCTCATCCTCCAAGCCGTAGACCATCTGCCGCGCATTGGCGCGCAACTTCAGCCAGTCTTTGTTTTCGGCATTCTGGGGGACCTTGTAGTACCAGGTTCCGGGAGCCACATGCTGTGCTTTGATGGTGCGCTCATCTTCCATTGGCTTCGCGCGCGAGAGGTAGTGCAGGCGCAGTGCCAGGCTGTTGCGGTCCTGGGGCTCCCAGTCGGCCACATCATCACGATGGAGATCTTTCTTCTCCTTTCTGAGGTTTCGGAGGTCCTCCTCCAACACCCCCAAAGCATCGCTCAAAGGATCAAGAACATGGTTTGGCATGGAACCCCAGCCACCTTCCTTCTTCAAGGTCTTCAAGGCATTTTTCCCACACATCTTTTCCATGTCTTTTGGCTCTACCTCTCCATCATAACCATCTTTCAGCTTCTTCAAATCCATCTTTTTGGTGTCTTCCACCCATTGCTGGAAGAAGCGGCTCACGTTCTCCTCATAGGAAGCGCCTCCGAAATTGGGGATCTTCTCAATGATGGCGGCCAGCTTCATGAACATCACCTTCTGCTCAGCTCGGTGGCCCTCATCGACGAAGGCGACATGGTACCGGCACCTGCAATCCTTTGGCATGCAACCGATAGCGCCAACGATATTCCGCAACACTGTGCATTTGTTCTCTCCCGCACTGGGAACAGTCACAACTATGTACCTCAATGCCGCAGTAAGTTCTGGATCGTACCGCCGGAAGTGCGGATATGGCGAAAACACGCCTGGGCAAAGCATGACGGCCTTCACTCCGAAACCAATCAGCAGCACATAGCAGAAGAGCCAAACAGGTGCCGTCTGATTCTTCTCATACCCGACATACCCCACCAAGGAATCTTGAAGAATGTAGCCATCCTTATATTGACAGGACTCAGAGATAATTAGCAAACCTAGGCTGGCCAGCATTGCAGCAATGCAAGCATGAGGAAATGCACCCAAGCCACTGCAGTGCAATTTGCCATGGGGGTTTGATCCGGTTGGCAGGCATGGGCACAGCGGCCAGAGACAGCCACACAACGGTCGTTGAAAGGCGGAGGCGCAGCCTCTTGTCCTGGCTTGAACCTCGTGAATCCTCCCTCATAGAGGGTACTGTTGACGGCACAGGCCACCAAGTAAAGTGGTCCCTGGCGGCCATAGCACCAGCCAGGGTCAATCTCCAATCGATTTTGCTGGTTCAGCGACATAGCGTGCTTGCTCACAGGGTCCTGAACAGGAGCGAGTTCTTCATCATATGAGTCAGAGTCATCCTTTTTGATCAGCGGCTTGCCGTCTTTGTCTACAGCCTCAGGTGGCTGCGTCATGCCATAATCATTCTTGTAGAGCTTTCGCCAGGTACCGCGCTCATCCCTTGAGGATTGCAGGATGAAAATGCGCGGCTGACTGAAAACATCTGTGCCTTTTGGGATGGTTGCTCCGCTGACGGTGACGTGGAAGCGCGGGAGTGAAGTGTAAATCGTGGGGGTTTTCTTGGCGCCTGATGAGTCGTCTCCGCCAATGATGCCTGGCAAGCCACCATCACCACCGGCTCCTGCTGTCAGGGAAACATTGGACTGTGAGTGCTTTCGGTGCTTACTAGACTAGATCTCACAATATTTTTCTTACTGACTTAACGGTTGCTGAACAAGGCTCCTGGGAGTGGGCTGTCAGGATCAGGGTCCATCCCAGGCAAGCCAGCTGGCAAGCCACCAATTCCTGGAATGATCTGCAATCGTCTTCGCATGTCGTCCTCTGTTCTTGGGTCATACAAGCACTTGTGGCACTTCCATTGCTTGAATTTCTCTGTGGCTGTCTCGCACTTCCCGGTGTGAGCCCCTTCAAGGCACTCCCTCATCTCGATTTTTCCCTGGAAGCTTGCTGAAGGGATTTCTCGCCCAGCGACGGAAGACGAAGTCATCTTGATGGTGCTGTCTGCCGTGCATCCCTCTAGCAAGTCAGAATTCACCACGGAATCACAAGTCCAGCCACAAACGCCGCCTGCTGTATAGCAGTATTGGCCGAGGTCTGCATCATCCAGCTGCGTTTTGCCTTCTAATTCAGCAAAACTGGATGGACTCCACACCACGCACGCCAGCACATAAACTCCCGAATTTGCTTCGCGAGTCACCTTCTCACCCGTGGGTGGGGCAATACAGGTGTCTGTTGTGTATGTGTACGCGTGTCCGGTTGTGTCTGTCTTGGCACGCCAGAAAGGTTGCGGGTAGGCATGCCGCCTGTCTGCGACCACCCACCAATCCTGGAAGTCAGCACTTGCCATCAAGACCGGATAAATGGTGTGCACATAGCCCTTTGACAGCACGGAGTCGTTGACCGTCAAGCTGACGCGGAAATTCATCTCATTTGTTCGGTAGCCACGCCAAGAAGAGCAGCTGTAGTTGCAGCTGTCTGCTTCTGTTGGGATAGGCGACATCTCAATTGGGTACTTTGAAAGGCTTTCCCCTGCAAGATCCTGCCCTCCCACGGCGGCAATGGACGGCCACTTTGGATACTGCTCATGCCAATACTGCGTGGGCATTGGGTTTGTCACTAACCACTTTGTCCACAGCGGGAATATGACCATGAACAGCAAGAACTGGCAAACGTAGCAGCAATGGCAACAACAAGCAGCAGTGACCGGAGGCCGGCATGCACCTCAGAAAGCAAAGTCAGAAGGAGATCAAGACTGAACAACATCAGTCCCGGCTCTGAGGCACTGACGCTCTTGCTTCAGGTTCTCTCCAAATACATCATCCATGCTGTCCTCCTCACTGCCTAGCTCGGATGTTGCGGCATCAGCATCCGTCGAGGAGCCTTGGCAAGGTGTAACAAAAGCAGTCCGCAACTGCAGGTTAGGGAAACAGAATCCCAAAGTTCAAACAAGTACTGGAAAGCCATGCTGAGCATGTCGCCATCATATCCATAGCCATAGCCTTTGCTGTTGAGCCACCGTTTCACGAATGCTCAGCCATGCCGGGCCCAAACCAGGCAACAAAATGTTCTCTGATGCCCCTTGCATGCGAGAGGCCGCCGTTTGCAGCAATCAGGTGCTCGCGAGAACCCATGCTTCCAACTTCTCCTGGAACAGACTGGTACTGCGAGTACAAGCGAAGCCGTCACTGCAACTGCATTACCCACGAAGGCAAGCGCATGGCCTGTTGCAGCTAATCTGTTGGAAAAGACCCGTCCCGGAAGCGAAATGCTTGAGCGGAGGCGGCTGCAGTTGTGAAATGTTTGGCTTGGTGCACAACGGCAACAGCTGAAGCAGCCCATGCCAGATGCACGTGGCCACTGATGGTCCTATGAACACCAAAGATTCTGATGCAGTTGACTCCGGCCTCTAGCGCTGCGACCAGGATGTTTGAAGAGACGAGATTCCAACACCGACACCTCCCCAAGGCATAGCTGCCCGTGTGTGGCCTTTGTTCTTCGGCGTGTGAGCCTCGGTGCCAAGTAGCCATCAGCAACGCATGCTGCAGGTGCCAGCAGGTCGAGCGGATATGCAGATCCAGACAAATTATGTCAAATTGATTTTTGAGTGCCTGTCGTTGCTGAGAGTACTGTGATGTGATGCGTCACCGGCCTTCGGGCGTGCAACAAGCTACGCTGCTACACAAGAAGGCCACATGACCAGTAACGCCTTTTTTGGTGGTGTGGGAACAGCTCAAAAAGCCAGCTCAAAGCACAAGAAATCCCTCGCGCAAGCTTCCCAGCACCGCTAAAACAAAAAATGTCTTGGCAAGGTGCCGTCGGATTGCAGCGGCAGGCACTCGGCTGAATTTCTATAGGATTACCAGCTAAGTTGGGTAGGCTTCCTACTCAGTCCAGGGGGCATAGATGTCAGCTTCGTGACCTCGTCGCCAAACCAAAGTGATGGCGTCAGCGCTTTCCCGCACACTGCGTGACACGCGTCCAGCAGCTTCTGAAGACCGGGTACGTAGGAGGCTCCAAGAAGATCCCAAAATTTCAGACTAGAGGTTCCCTTGAAATGTACAGTAGTTTCTCGAGATTCGTCGTGTCGGCGGAGTGCTCGAGGACAATGACGTGTTCATGCCACACGATTTCGGCATCAGCTAATGACTCAATGATCTTACAGGACGGTGTCCGGTGCCAGCTGCGAGGCCATGTGAATGCGCGGCACAACTTTCACAAAGGGTTGTTGAAAAGCTGACCTGATGGAGCTTCGCAGGCATCTCCTTCGGCTGCTTGGGCCATCAGCCCCGCGCGAATCCCTTCTTGCAACATCACAACAATTTTCCGTGTCGCTCAAGCCAATGGCGCCAATGTTGGCACCGAAAAGGGAGTGTAAGGAGCATGAAACACTAGGCCGCTAGGCTGACAAAATGCACATCTTCAAGGCTTGAAGACTTCAGAAAGTGCAGCCGGGATTCTTCGATGCTTTGCACGATTCTGCCCACGGCTCCCCGTTGCGAGACCTCCGGCAAAATTGCATGCATTTATCCGATATCCTGACCAATGACCACGGCACGACCAACCTTGGAGCCAGCTGGAAGGTCAGAATTTACGGATGTAGCCGCGATCCTGTTGGCTTGGTCAGGCCACTGGCCATTTAACAGCCTTCAGCATATGCGCCCTGCAATGACAACTTCTGAAAATGAGGCGCCAGCGCCCTTGCACTTGCAGTGGCTGTCCGAGATGTTCTTTCATCAACACCAGACTTTATGGACTTCCTGCAACACATGTTGCTCCTAAAGTTTCAAGTAAACTGACTGTTGCATGTGGCTGAGCATTGGAATTCTGCCTTGAACTCATGGCTGACAGTGGAGCGGTGAAGGCAGCGGGAGGAGGCCCTTCACCTTCTTCCTGGCAAGGGGCCAAGTCAAGCAAGGTTTTCCGTGCTGAGGCTTGGAGTCCTCCTTTTTGCTTCTGGAGTTGTGCAGGCGCCAGAATGTTGGCTGAAGCATGCCGATCATGAGCACTACTTGGAGTCCTCCTCATAGTAGACTTCCTCGATGTGAGTCGTCTCTTGGTCGCCCAAGTATGCTGTCGCTCCAGGTCCAGCTAGCTTCTTGGAGCTCCTGTTTGAGTGATCTCTTTCTTTTTCAATGAAGACAACCGTCAGTTTTGCTGCCATTAAGTTGCCGAGTCTCGATTTGATTCGGGTTTCCTTTGTGTGGGAATGGGTATGCGAGTGCCTCGGCTGGAAAAATTCAGATGGTCTGCCCAGTGCAGTACCAGTGCAGCTGAGGCACGTGTGAGAATGCGTGTGGGAGGTTGTATGGGAATGCGTATGTTTCTCCACAACCTTGGTCGATCAATTTGGGGCGTGCTGTGTACCAGAAGTCTTGACTTGCGGCTGGTGACAAACTTGCAGGCTCTTGATTGACATTTCTTCAGGCTGAGGATTGAGGACAGCTGGCACATGCTGGCACGTTCTTGAGACTCAGGTCAGCGACCCTTCATGTTCCCGAATGCCTGTTCAAGCACATGCATTCAACCGCTCGCTGCAGTAACATCCTAGACTAGATGGTGCTATGTACATGTCACTGTCTTGTGAAACCTAGGAGAGCAAATCACGAATTTTGCAATTCTGCTCTAGCTCGCAGACCACCTCCTGCAGGCGAAGCCAGCATAAGCAAGCCACTGAAAGGACTCCGCGGAATGTAGCGAAAGCTGAACTTCTTCTTCGATCTTCTTTGGGGCTGCTGGGTGCAAGAACAGCTGCCATGCAAGCGCACTTGCTGCCTGACGCTCCAGCTCGCGCATGCACACGTGCCCGCAATTCTCGGCTGCCTCATCCAGCTCAGCCTCCAACCTGCTGGGATTTGCAGCACACATGCGCCCCACAAAAGCGACTCCAGAAGCTTTTAACTTTCTTGGGAACGTTGCAGCCTGCATGCACATAGCGTCGCCAAATGGCTTTATTCCGATACGCGGTACCACCTGCCCAGATGGAATAGGCCGATACGCCGACACGAGAGAGACTGGTCGAGTCCACTACTTCTTTTGTTGCCCATGTTTTGCTATATCTCCGATCTGTTGTTCCGCAGTCCTTCTTCTCGTTCCGCTGGCCAAACAGTGAGTGGTGGAAACACCGTGTAAACTCAAAGAGCAGGAAAAGTAGCAACATAGAGAAATTCCTGTGCTGAAGTCTGCCAACCCATGCTCTTGACAAATCCACGTTGTGCCCTGTGGTGCTGTTTCTGAACTGATACAACAGTCCGGGCCGACCACACCACATGCGCACCAACAAAACAAGGTTCCCGGTCTGACCGGCGCACCGGCGTGTTTCCCATTCAGCAGTTAGGCCCTCGGCATATCTCCTTGCTAGTAGTAGCAGCAGCAGCAGCAGCAGCAGCAGTAGTAGTATGTAGTAGTAGTAGTAGTCGTCGTCGTCGTCGTCGTCGTCGTCGTCATCGTGGTGGTCGCAGTCGGGGTCGGGGTCGGGGTCGGGGGCGGCGGCGTCCCTGTCCTCGCCGCCGCCGGCGGGGGCGTCGTAGTAGTAGCAGTAGTCGTCGTCGTCATCGTAGTCATCGTCATAGTCGTAGTAGTAGCAGAAGTAGCAGCAGCAGCAGCAGCAGCAGCAGCAGCAGCAGCAGTAGTACTAGCACAATAGGCAATAACAGTTGAAAACAGCAAGCAACAACCCCATCAGCAACAGCGGTACGTAACTAAAACGCTGGTGAGCTGGCAATCCACATGACCGACGGGACAACGAACGCAAAAACGAATCTGGATAAAGGTGACATAAATATGCTCAAGGGTCATGCTCAAAACAACCGTCTGCACCGCTTGTCATGTTCAGGGGTCCAAGCATACTGGAAATCACGAGCATGGTAAGGCGCATTCTATACATGGCAGCAGCAGCCACAACAACAACCACAACAACAGCAGCAGCAGCAGCAGCAAGCCAAAAACAACATGAAATGCAAAGCTCTCAGCAGCAAACAGCCAAGTGCAAAACCATAAGGGCAGCATGAACACTCACCACAAAAAGCGCAACCAAAATACCAACAGCAAAGAAACAAACAAGCCATAGCAGGAACAATAGGAATCCTGATGCTCATAGGTAATATTTGAAATTGCGTAGTAGCCAGCATCACAAACACGGCATCAATCATTCTATGTGATTGTCACACTGATACTGATACTGAGGAAACAAGGTACTTAAGCAAAAGTCGTGGCCATAATTCTTAAACACACTTCCGAACAATAAATGGCTCTAGCAGCTCCCTGGGTAGCGGCTACGGGGAGACTCTATGCAATTGTGACCGCAACGAAGCCCAGAAGCTGTGAAGCCAGCAATCCAGGACTTCAACCGAGCAGCAACAAAGCCATGAAGCCACCAAGCCCCAAAAGCAATACCACCGGGAGCAAGACAAAAGTTCGAACGAAACAGGAATGCAATGCCCCAAAGTTGAAATAGCCACCCGGCTTAAAAGTCGAGAAGCCAAAAAATCAACACTCCCCAAAGCCAAACGCAAAAATGAAACAAAGCATATGGCTATGGTCTAAGCTCCCATATCCCTCTTAATAGCCCCGATAGTAGTCCACTAAATAACCCCCTTATATAACCCCGTTAAGGAGTTTAGACTATAGCTCATATGCAAGAATACCCTACATAATCTTTCGGCTTTGGCTTTGGCCTAAGTGTAAAGCCACCCGGTTCGTCATGGTCATGCGTGGATTCGGTGTGAGACAGTGCTGGTTCTGGGCCTGAATCAAAGTGTTGACGTAAACGACGGCAAACAAAACACAAACCAACAAAGAGAAAAGTGACAGACGCTGTTGTTGGCCTGGTTCAGCACTATGAGAACACTCTACAACGCTGGTTCCGACAATGCTGTTTCCCACAAGACAAGGGCGGCTGAAACCAAAGTTAGGGTCCCCAAACAGATATCACAAGCAAATGTCTCCCACTATAATCTCCGTCTCACTCTCTATCCCTTTCATGTTCCATTACCTTCTCCATTTGATTCTCCATTATTGGGGGTACTGTATATGTCCCTATATTATAATCCTATCAAGCCTATATCACCTTGTATAACCTTCAATATCCTATATACCGCAGGTTCCCAAACATCATGAGAGTCCATCCGCAAGCCTGAGCTGTACAGATCTTGCTAGGCCTCGGAAGCAAGATTTTGACCGACCAAAGCAGACCGTTTTGGGGTGTTCCCGATAACCAGCATTATTGCATTTTCGGATCTGCATTGTAAGTTTTGGATTTATAGGGTTTAGAGTCGAGGGTCCCCATAATAAGGATTTTGATATTTTGGGGTCTATGTTAGAAGTCGAGGAATCAAGCTCGGTGTCAGGCTGAGCGGTGTGGAACCACTTTCGTCTGTTTCATCTCGGTAAGCACCCCCCTTCAGAAGGACCTACGACGGGCTGAAAGCGGCCAGTCCCGTGCTTTCGCTCTAGCATTGCGGCATGCAAGGCCTCCACCATCTTGAAATTGTTGAGGCAGACGGCCTCCAACACGAATTGATGGCTAGTAATGGCTAAATAGCACTAGCTGTCCCGAAGCAAACCATACCCTGCGGAGCCCTTTTGGCAGCAAGTTGCAGCCTGCCTTGCCCTCCTTGCCCTTGACTCCCGTGTCTTAACTCCAGCCCAATACAATGTCGTACTCTCATCGCAATGTTTTGAGAGGCCGCGCTTGGCAACCACTAGATCCGGAAGTCAAGCATGCGATGAGTTTGAGGACAGCGTAGCCCAAACTCCGCTGGGCATGGTCCCAGAATGCTTTTTTGCGCTTCTGGTGCAGCTTGATTGTGTCTGCCTACCTTTTGTTGCTTCGAAGCACTGAGTCTTGTATCGAGTAGATTTGTCCAAGCCTCTTTGCTGCTTGGCGTTGGGACTTCTGGCATCAATTCGTCCGTCCATTTCAGTCTGTGCTTCTGCTTCAGTTCCCTGGTGCCTCGCGCCGCCTCTTTCTCGCAGGACCATGACATGAAAGCACGACGTTAGCTTGCAAGGTGCTTGCACTCAGCATCAGCCTTTGGTTTACAGAATGTGCGGCTGCACGCATACTACTACAGTACCTACCTACATCAGACCAGACCACTTCCAACCTTAACGGTGCCAATACTGCAGAGATTTGAATAGGACGCGTGGTAGCTGCTAGCTTCCGCTTCCGGTGGTACACAGCTTCTGGCCTTGTGCAAGGCTGTAAAACTGAACTCTGAGCCCGACCAGTTGACGTCAGCCTCAACAGAATGAGACATTGAGAGAAAAGGGATGGTCATGCAAAGCGGTACTAATCAAATGACTGAGCATCCAGCTTGTGCTGCAAGGAGTACCTGCCATGGAGTCGCTCTAAGGCACTCTTTCACATGCTCCGGACTAGCCTGGGCAATTTGCGGGTCGTCCAGACCAGCTGCCCGGTAGAGCGGGGTCTCGCTGTCTGCCAGATCCTCCTCGGGCAGGGCCCGTTCGCGTGCCCCTTTGACGAAGCAATCTGCTTGCCGCCGTCCTCATTGACGTCGGCGCCATTGCTTACGAGCAGCTCCACCTGGTTTGTGGTGCAGGGATCAGCGGCAAACCGTCACTTGCATTGAAGCTGATGCAAGATCTCAGCTGAGACAAACACCAACCCAATGTCACCGCCAGCTACTGCAGCGTGAAGGTTCGGGGCTGCAGCCACGCTGTCTGCAGCATATCCCTGACTGTCTATTGCCGTTCCCATGAAGCGGATGGCTCCAAGGAGGCGCTACCAGGCTACCATGTGCAAGAATTGTTTGTACACGTACATGCCCTGGGTATTCGGACTTCTGTTGATTGGGCTGAGGCTTCTGGCCATGTGACTTACTTGGACGACTTTTTTCTGGAATTTGAGAGCAAGGGTCTTCCTTTGAGCCAACACTGCAACGTTCAGGTCGCACTGCAAGAGCCAAGCGCTGAAAGACGCACGAGCAGCTCAAGGCTCCAGCTTTCGTCCTGGCAAGGAATCTCGACTAGCAGCTCCGAGCTCTCACTAGGACCACTGGACACTAGGAATAGCAAACTCCGGCAAAAAGGGCTGTCCTGACCCGAGGGTCATCATCGACCTTCTCCGACAACGCCATGGATCCGTTTCTGACAGACATTGCCAGCGATGGAGTCTGGGCCAGCACCATGGAGCCCTCCCTTACCGAGAGTGTCAGGGAAGGCTGCCGAGAATCAGCTTCTGGAGTGCCCGGAGCATCGTCATCATCAGCATCAAGAGCGACTTCCAGCGGTAATGTGCGAGAGTCTAACACCACCCTTGAGGCTGCTTTGCTGTTTGATCCCACATGCTCAGAGAAAGTTGTTGATGGCTGCTTCTTTCTGCTACTTGGAAGCTCCGACCCATCGGTTATTGCAAGGGACTCTGCTCTGCCAGAGAGCGTCTTCGAACCAGGCCTGGATGTTGGTGGAGAGTTCATCGTGTCTGACAAAGAGACTGAGCTCTGGGGCGAGGAAACTTGGGTCCAGCGAGGGGTGGTCGCATGAGCTGTGGAGACGACCTTCTGTGACTTGGACTTGGAGACCATGGTCAGCTTCTGAGATTTGGCACCATTTCGTGGCGGAGAGTCAAGCCGAGCCGTTCGACTGAGTCGCTGCGAGCCGGTCAATGGAGAACCCAAAAACTGGGTTGGCATCCTGACAGCGAGCAGCAACGTGGCTAAAGCTCAATACAAATCTCCGACTGACAGTAACTTGCTCACGGAGCCTTGGCCCCATCAATTTGGTGCTGCCTCCAAACCTGTGTGCAAGCGCGACCAATTTTATGCATGCCATGTTGACACAGCTCCGTGAAGTCAAGCTGCCCGGGACGATTCCAATCACGGTCATAGAGACTGCCAGCCTGATTGTCCCTGACCTGTGCGTCGTTTGTAGTGATGTGCAGAGATAATCCATCCATGCTGTCATTCAGTGGCTTTGCGTGACTTGAGGCCACGGCGTCTTGTAGCAGGCCATTGAATGCCGATGCCTCTAAACCCCGGATGGCAGTCGGTCAAAACGCAGCCGTGACCCGTGGGATTTCTGAGCCAGCCGCAACTTCGACTGCCCGTCTCACTTTGCGCCAGTTCGGACCATACCCGCCCTCATCGCCACCTGGCACAGCACTTGTAACATGCGCGTAAAGCAAAAGCAAACCTGCATGTCAGCGGCTGCGGGCACCATGCCTGCCAAAGATCGGTCCTCCTCTTCATCTTCGCTGTTTGGCCTTCGTGTAGCAGTGTAGCATGTCCGCAAGGTTTCATCCGGAAAAGGGCTGACTGCTGGCAAGGCTCTTATCATCAATTTCAGATCCTCGTATCTGCCCTTCCTTCAGCATTCCCTGGGCCAGCGGGCAGCTGGAGAACGGGCTGCCTTCATGATGGCCTAGCCTCCAAGATATTCACAACCCCACGAGATCCAGGACCTGCGCAACCGCGCGCCCAAGTTTGACGTGGTTTAACTTCAGGCTTCAGAAGTAGGTCAAGCTCTTTTGCTTCCGGGAATGGCCGCACTTTGGCGGCGCTTTGGTTACGTAAATAATGCCATCTTGCCCGGCTCACACAACCACCTCAGAAGAATGATGAGCGATGAACGATAGCATACCATGTTGCTCACGAAACCATTGCAAGCAGAGCTACGTAAGATCGCATTTGCGAGTTTTCAGCTCTGGATGATAACGCTCCATGAGAAGCTTGGAGTACTTGAACCTTGGCCGGTTTCCTTCACATTGCTCACTGTTCTTGCCAAAGTGTCATACGGATCCCATATTGGTGCAGCAAAGGGGCGGTAGATTGCTTGTGCAGCGGGAGGACCCATATAGCGCCACATACCGCTCCAAGTTGTAGCAAAGCCTAAGCTTGAAGAACCCAGGTGACTATCATGCCGCTGGTGCTAAAGATGTTCAGAGGCTAAATGTGCCAGGCCGCTGGCAGTTGGGATCTTTGCCTCGAAACTTGGCCTTCCATGATACAACATCATGCCATGCACAACTTCCGCAAGAAGAGAGAAGCTTCGGCTGCGACTGGCTGCTCATGCACAAGATGCTGATCCTCTCGCCTGTCATAGGACAGACACTCACTTACATAAAGAAGCTTCAGGCCACGATTTGACGCTTTGCCTCATCTTCAGTTCATACGTTGGCTTGCCCACTGGCCCAGAGTAGTGCCGGAAAGCTGCATCTCTGGGACCCGCCAGAGGTATCTCCTGCTGCGCATCTGACGCCAACAAGCTGACACTGAGACCATGTCAATGCGCCTTGTCGTTGTGCATCTGCGCAGCTTCTTCCCAAGGCATGATCGTCCATCCGCGCGCAGCTAGAGCATACTGAAGCGCAAAGTCCGAGGAATAGATCTCCTTTGAAAACTTCTCGCCCAAGTAGTTCCTTAGCTTGGCCAAACGGATCAGCCGCCAATGATGAGAAGATACGGTGACAAAGCATGCCAGCAGCTTGCATCGGGGCATCCAGTCAATCTCTGCAACACGCTCGTCCGAAAGGGCATCGAGTATAGCCTCTCGCCGATAGTAAGACCCGCCACATAAGCCAGCCTTGACCAGTGAAGTGCGTAGACTGCATATTGCCATTGCCAATAGCACTCGGCGAACAATCTCAGCCGGACAATCTACATCAAGGCTCAGGCTTGCTGATTCTCCTTGCGCCACCTGCTCAGCTGAGGGCGGCACTGTTGGCACAAGGCCACACTTGCTGCACATCAGTGTGGAACCATAGCTTCAGCCAAGGCTCTTGTACTTGCGAACGCGACGCTTTGCGAGTTTCTCAACCTGAGCAAACTCAAGCAAAAGTGAGCTCGAGCACTGTCGCAGGCATAGCACTGCTTTGGGTGCTTCTCCATATAACGGTTTCGTAGGTCCTAGGTCCTAGAGCCGAGTCCAGAAGTGACCAAGGGTCATCGTCAGATTGGGTGATACACAGAAATTATGCATCACACTTTCCTGACCAGTCAATATACAAGCAAAAACCAACAATAATGTCACTGACGATTGTTCAGGTCAATCAGCACAGAGCTGTACATCAATGCCCCTCAGAAACAACACAAGTGTCGCTACATGGTTCACATTTCACTCGAACCAAATAGCGGATCCGACGTCTAGCATCCTAGCAAAGAAGGGCCCGCACTTATGAGAAAGTCTCATGCAAAGCAGCATTGTCCTTTACGGCTAACAGCTGCCCCATTGCAATAGCAAGACCCACACAAGAAGAAAATTTGCATACACGACTTGGCATGTGGCGTAGTCGGCACCTGCAAAGCTGCGATCCCTGACCAGCACGCCACCAGCATCGTACTTCGGCGGCTTCTTGATCGGACCATGAATCCTGTTAGTTAGGAGTTCTGCTACGAGCTAGAGCTGACGACTTCTCTCAGCCAAACAGTTTAGGCTGGAGGCGTGTTGTCAGGCTCCAGCATGATGATGAACTCAGTGTTGAGGCTGACTGCAGCATCGTAAAGCCTGCTTAGCTACAGGTGAGTGGAGGCAGGAGGCAGGAGACGGTACTTCACAAGCAAGTCCTCCGGAAGAACGGCCACGGATGCCAGCGGTCATTTGCCGGCGGGCACACAGTTGCATGGCATCCTCAGGCAGTCGCGAACTTAAGATCCAGCTTGATTCTTGCACTTGTGCTTCCTGAAGGCATGTCAGATCTACTAGGCATATGCTTAATGTTTACTTTGGTTTTGCTGTATTCTTCTTGGGGCATCATGGTGAAGCCATTGCATTGCGCGCATATTGTTGTAGGCTCGCCCTCCTTCAGTGACGTTGCATAGTGGTCGGAAGTCCAGGCCGCCGTCACCTGAGCAACTCTGAGGTCACAACCCGGCACGAGATGACGGAAGCTGCGCTCTCTACGCAGGCAAAGCTTGTCTAGCTCCACACACCAGCATAATGGCAAGCAAGCAGCTCATGATATAGATAGGCGACTTGGGAAACACCTCCTTCAGCTTTTTAACCTGGAATGTCAGAGCAGTTTATGCTATTTGCAATTACCCAAAGTCCGCAAGCGTCGTGTCCAGGCCTGATAGAGAACAGCAGCCGGAGAATGGAAAACATGCAGGTAAAAGCCATATTTCTCACCTTGGATCACACAGCCGGCTACCTTCTCAATCTGCCAAAAAATCCGCAGTAGCTCAGTAAGACGCCATACTTTTCGGCTGCTTGACCTCTGCACTGAACAGAGAAGCTTCTCGTTGGACACAATACTAATTGAAACACAGGCCACTGCCAACTCCATCACCATCATCGCTGACTTTGTTTGTTGAGCCAGGTCCTCCTGGCAATTGCATCAGAGGAATGACGTCTGTGAAATGGAAAGCCCTCCTCTCCTGGTGTTGACGCTGGTTGTGGTAGAATCTGCCCCGGCTCACCTGGCTTCTGCCCGCACATCGCATTAAGATAATCAGAGGATGTGGGATACACAACTCCTGCAGACAGGATGCAGAGGCTGCCCAGGTCATTCTCACATGGTTTGTCTTTCAAATCAGGATGGTATCGATCAAGCAGGAGGCGTGAGTACCTTGGGGTGTTAGCTGCGCCAAAGTAACATAACCCAGAATCGTACAAGCTAAGTGAAGCTGTCCGTATCTTTCAGTCGAAAGTCTCAAATGCCCTGCGATTCGTGCATCGATCTGTGCCCCAACGGGCAATGTAGCGAGTGTAGCTGTAACCTCTTGGGTTCTGACCATTTGACAAACCAGAATTTGCAGTCTTCCTCAAGATGCCGAAAGAAGCACGTATATGCCGGGCCACACACTTGGCAATTTGGATCCCGCCCCTGACTGAGGCACAGGTCTGCATCCGCGTGCAAATACATGAAATTGAGACTAAGCTGGGCTCCGGGCCTGGTAGCTTGCAGGCCGATCCGCGAACAGCTTCGCATCCTCCGGCTTCACGCTTAGATCCTCAGCTTGCGATCCTTGCACCTTGTCATGTCTGGCGAGGCCCAAGGCCCTCTCATACGTTGGCTTTCCCACAGGTCCGGAGTAGTGTCGAAATGCCGCATCCTGGCTTCCCGACAAAGGGATGACCTGCAAAGCTGTTCGTTGATTGTTTGTTGCAAGCACATGCGCCAGCAAAACTGAAGCATGGATCGGCCTTGTCTTCATGCATTTGAGCTGCTTCAGACCAGGGCATTGCTGTCCATCCGCGTGCGGCTAGCGCATACCTTGCAGTGCAAAGTTGCCAAGGAAGCGACAAGGACACGCCAACATGCAGCATCATGCAGCATGGTAGCTGCATCGCGAAGTCCGAAGAGAAGATCTCCTCTGCTGTCTGCACAGTGTCTCTGACTGCTCGACATTGCATTGTCGCATCCACTTGCGCAAAGCAGCTGGGCACTGCAGCAACCCTTTTGAAACTTTGCTCTCGCAGCAATGCCGGAGTGCTTGTGTACAGGACTGCCTTGCCCACAGGGACCTCATCAGTCCTGCCACAGCAGATTGCAGAAGGGCACAGTGTTCCAAGCTTTTCAAGTCTTCCAGTCCTTCTGGACTGTGGCCCAGCGGCCGAGAAGTGCCGCGACATCTTCGGAGTCGCTTTCGGATGTTTCTGGCTCCTCTCCCAGCTTACGCCGCTTCTCGCGACGCTCCTGAGGGCTGCGATTGTCCCAAGCAAACAACAGATACAAAAGATCTCATGCTGCTTCAAGATACCAAGCCTCTACCACAACAACATTTACACAAGAGAAGGCCGGGGCTCATCCTCCTCTGCTCGCAAGGCCTCCGGAGCGTAAGCTTCTCCCAAGGACCATGCCCTCTCACCGCCGTAGAACTGCACGAAAAGCGCATTGATTTTGAACTTCTCCGTTTCTGGCAGGGCATTCCTTCGCGCAGGACTGCGGAAGTAAGCTGGCAAGCAACACTCCCCGCCAGCCTAGCTTTAATCCAGCATGCGGGGAATCAATTTGGCAGGATCAAAAGAAATGCCGAAGAAGCAGCAAGTCACAAGGCTTGTCGATAGAAGCCGGCAACAGCGCGCGGCGCTTCCAGCGCCAATTCTTCTGCACGCTTCCGCTCGCGGATCTGGTCCAACTTGAGGGCCATGATGCGCTTTTGCGTACCATCTCCGACACACCGAAAGTTCAAGCCCATGTGCTTGCAAATCTGGCGTATGTCTTCCCGTCCAGTGCTATTCACATCGGTGCCAAAACCAAACTCTAACCGCAATGGGTCCTTGGAGAAGGCCTCAAGTGGCTTCCAGTGGGGTGAGCTCTGCAGTCTGTTCCAACCTCGCTGGTAGGCCATCAGCTCTCATCAGCTCTCACACCCCCACATGACTGCTAGCTGCAAAGCTTGAGCCCAAACATCCCAAACCAAAAGCCAAATCAAAAAGGAGTTCACAACGGAGGCCTCGCAAAGCATAGCACAAGCTCCTTGCTGAAGTTCTCGGCCAGCATATTCCAGTCTATCTTTGCGACGCTCTCGTCCGAGAAGGCATCTAAGACAGCTGCTGTGCGGTAGTACGATCCCCCGCAGAGGCCAACCTGATAGAAAGGCAAGGTGCAAATATTCGGAGGTCAAGGTCACTTCTGGTTTGTCAACTACGTCTGGTGGGGCACTTGGGCTTTTGGAATGGTGAATCGGTATTAGATTCGGATACTCCTGAACTAGGAAATTACTTGCTTTTATACAGGGCATTAAGATGGTGAGGTCTGGAAGTTGCGCAGAGGTGCCTGCCACACAAACCAGATCTAGGACCTTGCCTGGGATAAGTTGCACAAGGCCATGACCCTGCTGTAGCAAGTCACATTCCCTGTAGTTCCAGGTCGGTGAGCTGCGGAGGAGTTTCCGAAATCAGTGTTTCTGCGTTGCCGGGATTTCCACGAGCTGTTTGCGGTCTCTTTCAGAGTCAGGCCCCTTACTTTGGAATGCTTTGTTCAGCAGCAAGCACTGACAAATTGATGCGTGTGGAATCACTTCAACTCAAAGGTCTTTACTAAGGACCACTATATTCGGACCCTAGAGGTTTTTGGAGGTGTTGAAGGGTGTGGGCCTGAGAGACATGTTTTGCAAGAAGGTTGTCGTGGTGAATTTTCGGCAGGCAGTGCTCAGGATGGCCAGTGAGGTGACCTACAATGACACAGCACCTCTGCAGGAGGTTGCTTTTTTCTTTGTACAGCAAACATCAGAGCTGCATTGGAGTATCAAGCCATTCTACAACTATGTCTTTCCGCAGACTAATCGGAATCTTGGCAAGAGATACATGCTGTCAGCTTCTCACGGAAAGTCATTTTACACTCAACAGCCGCATGACTGAAGCATGACGAGGAGATACCCAGTGCCAAATTGACCGGGTCCTTTTTCCGTGGGATGAGGGCACCCAGCGCGAGCTCTTCGCTGGGTCTCCGTTGAAGAGGGGGGTGTGGTGGGAGCGGGCTGGGAGAGGTGGAGACTGCCTCTTGGGCTCCCGCCCGCCCGCTCCAGCTAAATAGAGGAAAAATGAGGCAAACTGAAGGCGTTCAAACTATGGACCCCTAATTTCCGACAAGCGTCCGACCATGCGGGCGGTGGGCGGGCGGAGAGGCGGACGGGCTCACGGGCGGGCGGGTGGCCGGGCGGGCGGGTGGCCGGGTGGGCGGGCGGGGGCTAGGTTGCTTGGGAGGTCCGGGAAGTTTCTTGGTCCTGGATAGCTTTTTGGGGGATCTCAGCACAGACAGCAAGATGTCCGTGCACGAGCCCGCAAGTTCTTCCCGGACACCACAGATCCCCAGGGCGAAGCAGAAGCGCAAGAATGCGTCAACTGACCTGAAGGCTGTGGAGAAGAAGAAGAAGGAAGGCAACAAAAAGGGCAAGAAGGACAGAAGAAGGGTAAGAAGAAGAAAGCGTCTCACAAGTGCCCCGCACACAAAGCACAAGCAAGTCAAAAGTGCTGCTTGCTGGAGCGACACATTTTTGCAGCACAGCTGCCAAAGCCCTCTAAAGAGCACGACTCTTGGTTCCAGAACGCCAGAAATCATGCTTTCTTGCCACAGCAGGGGTCCAATCACAAGGGTCCATAGTAAACACCTTTGATCAACCAGCCACTTCTTCTAAGTCAATGCGGTGTACGGGCGGAGCCGCTGCGCATGCAAGCCAAATCGCAAGAACAGAACCGACGCTGTAGCTCTTCCAGCCCTTTTGCAGAAGGCATTTCTGGCTAGCGTGGGTAACATGTCTTGGCGAACAGCTTTGCTCGGCTTTGCTCTGCATGCGGGCTCGTATGCCCCTCGTCCCCCTCGCCTGCTGGCTTTCGAAGGTCCAATGGAACTCGGGCGCACGGACATGAGCTAGTTGCTCGACCTTACACATGCCAGGTCTCATGTCATGGCTTTCTACGACACATGAATGAGGTCCTTGCATAGGCTGCGCCGCCATGCCTCCTGTCCTGGTGCGAAGTGGTCATGTTCCGTCAAACAATAGCTTCCGCAATCTCAAGTACGATAGCTAGTACCAAAACCCACCTTCACAAGCAGGCCGCCGGCATCAAAGTCCGGTCTTTGCTTGATGGTCCCATGAATCCTCGGTTGGTGAGCAGAACTGCTGAAACGCCTGCAAGCACATAACCGAAAGAATGTACAAGGCGGATCAAACTAAGGATCGTATTGTCTGGTTCCAACAATATGATGAATTCGGTTTGCAAGTTCAAGGCGGCATCGTAAAGCCTCCGCAAAAAAGGCCACCTCACCATCGGCAACGCCGCGATGCCAGCCCACATTCATGCACAATGCAGAAGGTCTCCGCATTTTGCTGCAGCAGGCACTTACATTCAGGTTAGTGGCGGGTGCCATCGATCATTAGCAGGTGGACACATCACGAAAGTGCACCCCTCCAATGCACAGAGCGGGGTGAAGTCCAGATATCCTGACATGGCAGGGGCTCTGGACAATTCGGAATCCAGTTGTGTCAGAAACGCAGCAATTCAGCTCTGCAAACCCGGCGACAGCATAAGCCAAGCAAGCTTCCATCACTCATCACATAGATCCTTTGCCGCAGGACACCAGCCATGGTCCAAGATATAAAGCGCAACAGGCTTTTCAAAACAACATGCCGACGCCATAGGTCGGTTGGGCCGTCCCTCTTTGGACGCTCCAGGCTAGATCTTCTAATTATAGTAAGCTCAAGAACGCTACCTTGGAACAAGCAGCGGAGATCCGGGGAAGAAGTTCTTGACATCCTTGGCATGCTGATGTTGAAGGGGCGCACGCATGCTACAATGCCAGCCAAAACCATCCTGCATGAACAAAACCAAAGGCATCACAGCATGCCTTCGACGATGTAAGCATCTGCAACACTTCTTCAAACAAGTCATGCAAACTCTAACCATACTTGCAGAGTGAATGCTGTCTTCTAGCGCATCTTTGGTAAGGCTGTGATTTGTAGCCGCTGCTGCTGTTGCTCTGTTCCTTCCAATCTACCTGCTTCCCCTTCACGGTCTACTGGCGATCTGCGCAGTCTGAGCATGTGCCTGCACTGAAACAGTGAAAGGGATTGAAACCGAACAATGAGGAGGAGCAACTTTGTTTGGGCTGCTTTTCCTGGGCTCTTCTGCCTCATTCATAGTGTGTTGCATCATCTGCAACTGGGCTTGGAGAGTTACTTGGCTTCCTTGCTCCACGCCGACAACTCTTTGAAGGGGAAAGGCAACAATTCCCCTGCACAAACCACAACACCAAAGCATCTGGGGACTAGATGTGACTAGACGCCACCATAATTCGAAGAAGGGTCCCTGACTTGGTGGATCACTGCCGCAGGGTGCCCATGCACGTGCAAGTAGAAACCATACCTTGCCGGCTAACCAACAAATCAACTACAGAAGAAAGTAAAACGGGTCTGCGAAGGCTTGGTGGTTTGAACATCACTTTGCTTTCTGGATGCCACAGTGAGGCCAGGAGGCTGGGGTGCGGCTGCAAACTTTGGCAGCTCGCTTTGATCAGAGTGCTGCTGAGGTCCTTGCAATGGCATGTCTAATTACGTGTTTACGTGTGTATCTGATTATATATATATATGTATATATATTTTGTGGGGAGCAGCGCTGCATTGAAACAAAGTCCTGCTGGCAAAGAAGCACTCTCCAGTACGGACTCCAAGCCAACGCTTGACAGTAGCGTGGCAGGCTCCACAGGGGGCGCAGCTAAGAAGACCACCTATGCCAGACTTCAAGAGGATTGGAGTTTGTTTCTCGAACTTAAACTGTTCCCCCAATTGCTGAAGCCCAGCGACAACTGCGCCGACCACGAATACGCAAAGCCACTTTCGAAATGGGCAAGAATGCCCTTGAGCTCTTCGCCTGTGTCGAGCGCGCTGCTAAATTGACTATACAACACGAAGTAGCATCAACAAATGCATGAAGTCTGGAGCTCTCTCTTCTTCAGATTGCATGACTTAGGAGCTCTGGTGGTATCTTAGGCTGTTGACCCATTTAATGACGGACCGAAGCTCAGCGACTATGTGAGAAATCTCAGAACCTATTTCAACTATCTCAGGACCTATGATTGAAATTGAGAAAACCCTCGCCAGACAATGCCAGAAACTGTCCGAAACCGTTCCAACAAGTTCCCGACGGTTGCTGCGATCTTTCGAGCTTCTCCGACACACTGTATAACAGTTCGACCCCAAAGCTGGGAACCGCTCCCGAGAAAATAGTCAAAGTTCCTGAGAGCGGTTTTCTGTCGAACACAAACCCTAGATAAAAGAGCCCACCAAGACGCCTACTGCATCAGCCAAAGGAGTTTGGTATCTGGCACCGACACGACCCGATCAATGCTCATCGCTTGTACAAGTAGGTGGTATCGAAGAAGGCCCAAAGCATGACATCATTTCAGAATGGAGAAACAGGTCGTCCTTGTCTGGAGGAGTTCTGCAGATGCAGCTGTACGCAGAATGCCCTGCCAACCCTCTGGGACCTGGCCATCGTCTTGCAAATGCAGCCAGGTGTAGCGTCGGGGTGAACGAGCCATGGCTCGTAGCTCTCCCCGTGATAAAGTTGTAAAAGAAATGCATCTACTGCTGTGCAGATCTATGTAATCTTGGACCATGCCACAGGGCGGCTGCTCAAACTGCTCGAGTGGGGTGACAGTGTAGATCTCTGAGGTTTGCATGCTTATCTGATAGGCTTATCTTTGCTTAGTTTAGTCACAAGTCTGCTGGAATCGTTTGTTGTTCTGCGTGCTGTCCACTCTGCAGAGTGTGGAACCTGGAATGGACGCTACAACACATCAGGACACAGAGGCAGGCAGCATGCATGCAATTGCATGGGTTGGCAAACACCATCTGCACCAACCGGCGAACTCGCGAGTGTATGTGTCCTCAGTCACGCTACAGGCTGGCAGCAGGAGGAAAGCAGTTGAGCCTGGGACTGGCGCCAATCGTCTTCGTATAGCTGTTGCATGTTGTGCGCTCTCACTTGCTGCAGCAGCTGTTCGAAGGCAGCAGCCGTGCCTTGAAATCAAATCAACCTATGTGAACGAGGATTCTAACTTACGTTCCTCTCCCCAAAGCTCTTACAGCCAACGCCCTGGCAGGGTGCCCTGGCCCAATCGCATTCCCCACTGCTTTCCTTCTTTGGCTTGGTTCTTGGATGTTCCTGGTTTCCTATGACCGTCGCATTGGTATGGGGAGTGTAGATTTCGTCGCCGTGTGCACTCTGTCATCTAAGCTGTGACTTGTGGGGAACATCCTGCCGGCTTGCGAATGGACACATCACAAAAAGCGCAAACTCTGAGATTCCTGCCATATTTTGCCCGCAGCTTCTTCCAGCCGGCAGATTGGCCAAGCGAATCTGGGGTCACCTCTGTTGGCTCCTCGGCGCTTCTGCGATGCTCTCAGTCTCAGCCATGTGCACATGCAGTGCCATTCCTCCATGTGCATGTATGACCCGATGGAGCTGATCGAAACAGCTTGAGACCTGGGTCGACGAGCTTCAAGGACGTCGATGGACGCGGTCACGCGCAGTCACACTCTGTCTCTTGAACCAGTCTTAGCTGAAGACGGCCAGCAGCTTCTCGCACCGTCGCCGTCTTCGTCAACCCCCATCATGACCTCCATTTCACGCTCATCGATGCCTGGAGGCGAGCCAAGACGATCTTGACAAAAAGAGTTGAATTCCAGTGCTCTTTTCCGGTGCTCTTTGGATGCAGCTGGCCTGGGCTGCGCTGATCCGCCTCAAACAGGCGGCTGCTTAAACCCAATGTCCACGGGCAGCTGCTGCAGTTGCAAGCTCAGGCTGGCACTTGCGATGAACACGGCGGCGGTTGAAAGAAGCGCTCCTCTGTCAACGTCACTTCGCGGCCTCGCTGCCGACCTTGGAAGGGTCTGAAATCCACACTGAGGCAATGCGATAGGCGCATTTGCAAGCCAACCGCAATCAAAGCTACAGTGGGCTTAAGAGCAGATTGGGAGACGCCCCTTTTTTCTCTCCATCCCAAACTCATTCACACTACAAACAATCGCCTCTGCACCGCCTCTGATCTTCACTTTATCATACTGGCAACAACCCTTGCAGAGCTGACCAGCGCCAACATTGGCACGAAAGCGCCTTTCGATGTTTCGCATGGGTGGCGCTTGCGACGTTGCTCCCTCGGTCGCACAGAGACTCACTGCACATCCAGCCACAGCATGGACAGCGTACCCCATGCCACTCACCATCTTGCTCGGTGACTGCTCGATCATCCACCGGCCAACCCACGTTTGTGATTTCAGAGCCACGGGGCAGGGGGAGCAGGGGCTCAGGTTCAAAGGAAGGATCCCACCGAGCTCAGGCTGGCCTTGCCAGCCTTGCCATGCATTCGGTCTTGCAAGCGCGCGGATCGCAGCCGACGCGCAGATTGATGTCTCCATGTTGGCAGGGTGGCCATGAGAAGATGATCTGCTTGCTGTCCACTTGCAATCTGAGTAGAAAGGACAGGAAGTGCCGCGCTCAAAGCAGCAGGAGGTAAGGGAATGTAGGGCTGCGGACCATAGAGCTGATTTGAGATGCCAGGGATCTGTGTAAGTGGTGGCAGAGTGCCCCACTGCAAGGACTGCCCGCCTTGCTCCGGAATGAAGGCTTGTGAAGTGTCTCGCCCCTCGGTGTTGTGGATTTTGCGCGGAGCCTTCGCCTGTGCACACAGACAGCACAACGAAAAACATGCCCCTCCAACTTTATCGTCCCAAACAACAACACCCGGGTGGCGCCTTGCAACACTAGCGCGGGATCCATGTGGACTTGTAAAAATGAAAAGTATACAAACATGAGCTTCGGTACAAGTGCTTCTTGGCTGGCTTCTACAGGGTGGCCACCCCCGCAATGCAATTTCACGAGCTGCTTGGCCTCAGCTGCGGCTCTACCGCCTTCTTATAGCTGCTGATCATACCGCGGATTTGTTGCTCACAAGCATGGAGGAGGCGGAGGTTACAGAACAGCTTGACATTGACAAAGCAAAATGCATTCGCAGTTTGTCACTCAGTGCTGCTTAGGATGCTATGAGGCTTTGCATGTTTGGGAGCAAACTTTCTTGTCCTGAAAACCTCCGAGAATGATTAGCCGATAAGCACCAGCTCGCTCTACTTAAATTAAGTCGGCTCAGGCTGCACTACGTCCCTACTACTTCACGTACATGACTCCGTCCAACCTGACTGCTTGATTTCACGCGACTAAAGCTGCCATGAGTCGGCCTGCAGCAATGGCTCACCATCCAATCCTGTCAACGGGCAGGGTCTCACCTGACTGAGTCCTGGCACCTCTGCTGCTAATTTGGCTAAGTTTCTTGTCAATTGCAGCTTGAGACAGCTGGCAGGACTGATTGCTGGGGTTGCCGTTTCTTCCTGGGCTGCACCCGCAAGACAAATTACCAGCATCAGAAGCAGATGTGATGCATTGTTGAAGAATGAATGACATCTGGCTTTTTCCAGAGATTGCTTACGAGCCACCCAGAACTATCGAATAGCCAAACTGAATTATCGTCCTAACAGTTTGAAAGCAGGCCACCTCAGGCCTGATAGATAACTACAAGGCAAGGCTCTATCACACCATAGCGTGAAAAATTGTCCAGTGGTGGGAGGTGATTGTAGCGTGCCTCAGCCAAACTGGCATGACGTCAAACAAAACTCTCGGAGGATGCTGGCTGTTCTAGTGAGGGCTCCTAGCTTGGGAGAATAGTGGAGGATTAATATCGGCCCCAACATCTTCAGCAGTCTCGAAGCTTGCGTTGCGTTAGAGACTTGAGAGAGGCAAGCTCAACAGACTCAATCAGTTCGTAGCCGACCCTTACAATGCCCTTCCTGCGCCGTTTGCAGCCGACTGCTGACTTGCACTGTATTGACCCGATAGCTGTCTTGCGATGCTTCGGATTCACATGCAGCTGTGCTGACTTTTCAGAAATGCCCCCAGCGGAGTTGGTGTTCCGGGAGCCACAAGCGATTCTTCCCTGGTCTGCATGGCAAGCTGCCGTCAGCTCCTCCCCGGCCGCAATATCTCGCGTCGCAGCCAGTTGCACGTCGCCCATGCCCCGGCCGCAGGAATATTCCACGTTTGGCTCAGTGCTGTGGTTCACAAGATCTGCAACTGGCGCCACATGAAGACCACAGTTGGTGTCAAAATTGCTCGTGTCCACAACCAGTCGGCCCCAAAGCGCATCTGCAAATGTCAAAGGATGGTGCCCGTCCAGGTTGTTGTTGTAGGCACCCAAAGCAGACAACATACTTGCCCGTGTTGCCCGAACGGAATTGACCATGGGTAGGAATTCATGGAGATCACCAAGGATTCGCAGGGCAGGTTCTGAGGCTGCAAGGGGAATCCCCTTGGACTCGAAATCTGCCAATGAGGGAAACGCCGCGGTGGCCAGCCTCAGCGTCTCAGCGTCAGGGTTTCTCGGCTTTGTCACAATTTCCATGCGCCAAGGTGCTGCCAGAAGCGGTCTGCCGAAGCTCCAGCTGCACGCCGCTCGGCCAATAGCAGGGCCAGCCTGCAGCGGTCGTCGTCGCAGCCAGCAAATCGCCTGGCAAGTGCCAATACGCAAAGCTGTGTATCATATCTGCGCGTGATTTTAAATGCTTGCACAGTATGGCACCCCGCCTGCCGATCGCCTCCTCGGCTCGAAGGAAGTGACTGCGAGGCGAAGTGTATATCACATCGCCTTTCCGGATTGGATGTCTTGGCCGCAGCGCTCGGCTCCAAATGCCTCCATGAGAAGAAAGATCAACTCCTGCAGCACCAGACTCAAAGGCTTTCAACTCTGCATCAAGATTCCCTACCCGTCCTAGGTCAGGATCGCCACTGGGCTGCCTGGGAAACCGGGGCGTCTGCTGCAACACCACGCACTCGCGAGCTACATGAGACTTTTGGAGGCAGCATAACGCAGTCTTCAGAAATCATGTGCTGGCTCTATGCACCACTGGGCTAAAGAAGCTGGAGTCACGTTCAGGCTAAGGCTCTTCATGCTGTCTACACCTGTGTTCCTTGTCTGGCAGCGCCGGGTTGCACAAACTCGAGCAGCTCCTGAGCTCCCGAAAGGGCGCCACGTCGCATCGCTTCAGAACCCCTTGTCAAGAAGTATCTGTTCAATTCTGTTAATGAAACGCTGAACCAAGATCAAGCCATGAGAGCCAGGTCGAGATTCAGAGATGAGCCGGTGAAATGCTGCTGGCATTCCACAAGGCATCAATGGCATCACAATGTCTTGCAATTTTGCAAACGGCTGAGTGGAGCACCTGCGCTCGGATCAAATTGTGGCGACGTTGGGGACTCTGGTGACTCTGGCAGCTGCTTGGTGAGGCCTAGCATTCGTCACTCGCGCGAGCTGTCAGGGTAGCCCTCGGTGCGGAGGGTCAAGCAGAAGCTAAGGTCTGCATTGCACGCAGCCCGCTGCCACGGAGTGTTAGTTAGCACTCTGAGCCTGAACCATTTTGCATGTGGCCAGCCGAACTTCACACAAATCACATCTTGATAGAAACTGATTTCACCATGACTGGATCCACAGGTCTATCACTTTGAGTGTAGACCTTGGAAGTCTTTACAGCTACGTCGTATCCTTTGACGACTCTACCGAAGACAGGATGTCTGGAATCTCCACTGGAAAACCAGTCCAGGAATGTGTTGTCCCTTACCTTGGAAGCGAAGCTCCGATAAAATCATACCTCCCCGCGAGTGTTGCCTCGTTAGCCATCTTTAAAATATCTTCAAGATGCGTTTGGGCAAGATTTATGGATTTCAACCGGCTATCATGTACGAAGTTAGTTGCGAGCACAGCAGCAGCTGACATGAGGGGCGGACGTGCAAGCCTTCGGCCTTCGCGTTAGGGCGAGGAAAAGAAGGGAAAAAGCACAAGAATAACAAAGTCAAGGCACATTGATGAAGAGTTGAGACCCACCAGAATCCATTTGTCCCGTATTGGCCATGGACAAGCTGCCCTTAACGTTACTGTCTTCGGAAACAAACTCATCCTCAGGGCTTTGCACGGTGCAGATTCTGATATCAGTCTGACTAAGGGTTGTCTAGTAGAGCTGCAAGCGCCCGTGCCGTCCTTGATGTTGCCGCCTCTGAAACGCTCTTCCATTCTGCCGGTTGCCAAGTTCTGGAAAGATCCATCCGGCGGACCACCGGTGCCTGCATAAGGACTGAAAGGATCCTGGCAGGTTGGTCCAGGACAACATGGTTAGCCCTTGAGCTGAACCAGAGCTTCTCAAGCTCCGGATCCTGCGACTGCAAACCCGACTCGACAACATTCCTGAACTGCTCGGCTCTTCTATTGCCAGCATCTCGGTCCTTTGCGTTGGGGCAACCGAACTGGATCATGAAGTTGGGAATCACCCGGTGGAAATGCACACCGTCGTAAAAACCAGACTGTGCAAGGTCAATGAAGTTGGAAGCTGTGCGCGGCACCCGGTCCTGGCTCTTGCTCTACCGGCTGTTTCTCAAAACAATAGGCCAATCCAACTGCCTGCTTGATGGCAGTAAACAGGCCTGCTGGCATGCCCTGATGATTTCAACTCCTGTTTGTTTCCGAGTTCCACAGATGCACAGCATCCGCATTCCAACGCTGCAACTACCCCCAGGGCCTCACATAAGAGGGCTTGCTACCACACGGAATAACGAAGACGGGGTTACTTTAGAAGTAGAGCGCGCCACATGCCTTTCCATTGGCCTGGATTCAGGTAGGACGGGCAGCATTGCCAAATGTTGCTGCAATGCTTGAGCAAAAGCTTCGCAGATTTGGTTCCTGCCTCCTCGGCTTCTGACGCCAACCGCCAACCCATCCCCCAAGAGTGTGGTCCAAGGTTTCATGGCTCCCCAAGAAGCGCTCTTCGCACTTTATGTCACCTTCTCTCTTGGCCCTAGCCCACTCCAGCCCTTGTCTATGCTTGCACAGTGTTGCTAGTCTTGACTTGATGTCCATCGCTGCCATAAAACGACAAACAGGGACCCATTTTCCGGTCCAAGAAGATTTCAGCCTCGATCGATCCCAGGCTTGTGTCAAAGATGGCTATCGGATTTGGCATCAGCACTCCAAAGGTGGCCTCAAAGGCCTCTTCGCCACGAAGCAACGCTTTCAGAGCCAGCAGCTCGTAAGCCTTGCCACCCACAGTTCGAAAGACCCATCCGGTCTTGACTCCGGCCTTCATAGCGGCACCATCCTCAAAGACTTGCTTTACCAGGCCACTCACAGGGTCAACCTCCATGCCCAAACTCCCTGGTTGAAGCGTAACCTAGGACGGGCAGTGTACAGCACACGCATACTGGAAGCAAAGCAGCCTAAACAGACACCATCTCTTTTTCCATGGCCACGGATGCCTGGCAGCAGCTTTCGAATCATCAGAAAGAAGACCTACACCAGGAACATACTCTGCTGCCACGGAGGTGTACTGGCCACCAGCACCTCGGCAAACGTTCACATACATGCTCATATACCCTGTCTTCGCTAAGAGAACTGCTGGGTCGACTTTTTCTTCTTGAAGGCCTGCGAACTCTGCATGTCCCTTGAGGGACATACGTCTCTCGCATACATGTCTCTTGTTGAGGCAGTTGCATAAGAATGATGTGAACGGGTGGGAGTCCTGTTTCAAGCTGTTGCTAGCTCTTAAAACTACCAAACGTTGACACCCAGGGCCTTGGTGGGGGAGTCCCGCAAACCAACATCCTGGACCCCAAAATCCACATGCTTATCATGCGGTCATCAGGACAAGATTTGCCCAGCAAGTTGCGAAGCGGCAGCCTGAGATCACCAGACTGAGAGCCACACAACTAGCGGTAACCAGTGATAGCACAACTTCATGAACAATCCTGAGGCACCACAGTGGGAACAGATTGCGAACGGCCCGTGGATTCCAAGCCTCTAAACCAGTCGCAGGTTGATTTCAAGACTTGAAACTAGTCGACGGGTGGATCTCAAGTCTTGAAACCAATCGGCGCACTCAGGTGGGGTCTCAAGCCGTGAAACCAGTCGGCGCACGGATGTCAAGGCTTGAACCTGGTGGATCTCAAGCCTTAAAACCTGTCGGCACGCTGATTTCGAGGCTTGAAACCACTCGGCCAAAGGATCCCAAGCTTCGAAACCGGTCGGCACACTGATTTGCCTTTGCCTGGGCCTTTGCACTGTTCCCACCAACATGTATTGCTTCTTCGGGTTTTCCCTTGAGCTTCCGTCAACGAACTTAGCTAGCACAAGGTACGACATGACACGGCTATAGCCTTTCCATCATTATGAGTCACTGTTATCCTGTTATCCTCTTGGGGTCGAATTCTTAATAGCGCATGACTTCGGGGCAAACTGCATATAGCTAGGCGGCTTTCAGGTCTGGATCTGCCAAGGCACGCGACCAGCGTGCCCCTCCCGCAAACGTGCTAAACACAAGTCCTCTTCCCGCAAAGGCCAGAGCCAGGGCAGTCGCCATGCACAGGCATGTGTTTCTCCGCGTGTCTCTGCTGGCGGCCGCGCCGGAAAATGCCATGGCTTGTGAGGGAGCTGCGGCAAAGAATCACGCCTGCACAGGCCGTTTCACATGCGACCTCTGCATAAGGTTGCCAAGCAGCTGGGGCATAGTAGTAAGCCCGAATTATCCTATACACTCCTGAAATTTTCTAAATGTTTATGCCGGCTGCAGTCGTGTTCTGTTGCCAGAAAACTAAGTACTGCAGCTTGATGCATCGAGTCAATCCCAAGCAATCCAGCATCACTTTCTCCGGTGAGCGCAGTCCTGGCCTGGGAAGGCTCCGCCACTCTTTGACGCTGCCACACCTCTGCGATCCGAACGATCTGAACCTGGGAGGCGGCGTTTTTGGCTTCATCTGGCCGACCGTGCTGAGGCTTCCACCCAGACGGGTGCTTCCTGAACGACCTACTCAACGTCAAGCAGTTGAAAGGAACGCGGTTGAAAGCTGAAAGCAGCGCAGCCTGTCATATTGGCTCACCCGTGACTAAGCATGCTGCTAGGTGGATTGTCGTCGGCCTTTTTTGTCGAGGAGCTTGCTCCTGCACAGTCTACATGAAGCTTTCAACGCACTGAGCAACAGCTTCTGCAGACTGCAGATGCGTACCTGCGCGTTGTCCACCGCGGTCTGGCTTAGTCCTCGCACCTGGCTCTGCACATCAGGGCAGCCAGCACGCAAGTCCACATCTCAAGTTCAGCTATGTTCAGCTGACAGGTCAACTTGAGCCAAGCACCGGATGTTTTCTGGTCCCTGTCTGACTTGTCCAGCTCGCTCCTATTTGACAACGTATGATTGCCTTAGGAATACTGGCTGACATTTGATGCATTCGCTGGATGTTCTGTATTCCAGGCTGAACGGAGCCGAACGCGCTGTCCTTGAGCTTGTGTCTGCCAGGCGCACCTCAAAGCAAGTTGAATTCGAGCGGCTTCAGCACAAAAACTACCAGTACTGGGTGACCTGCGCTCTTGTGCCGCCGTGGCTCCTCCACCAGGGCATCTCCTCGCGCTTGCCTTCGCCAGGACTTGCCGCTGCCACTTCAATCACAAAGCTGCAATGCAAGCAATCTCCGAGAAAGCAACAAAAACTGGCCGAGCGGTGGAATTCCAGCATTTAAAGAGGCAAACAGGGCTTGAGGTTTTATGAATCAAAATCGCTTGCTCTGGCTTGACCCGAAATGTTGCTATCGATGTGTTTTCTTCAAGGTGTTTTCAAGGCTTGGGATCTTAGCATTTCGGTTGTGGCTCTGTTTTCCTCTTATCGTTTCTGCGACTACAACCCACATTTTGCATTTTGCTTTTCCGGCGCAGGGTTATGAGACAACCTTATAACAAACCAGGAACACAGCAGGGTAATACGAGAGCTTCAGAGACCGAGCAGCTGGCAACGCACAAGTCACCAAGAACAACGGCAATTAATAGGAGCAGCACTGACAGGAACATTCACAAGAGAAACAATGGTGATCACAGCGGCAACAACGGCTGCGGCAACGAAGGCGCCAGCACCGGCAGCGGCAGCAGCAGCGGCAGCTTGCTGTGCTTCTGTTGTTGTGGTTGCTGTTGCTGTTTCTGTTGTTGCTGATGTTGCTGGGCTGGTATCGTTGCTGCTGGTGAGCTGGTGTGGGCGTGAACCTGGCAGTGGTTGTGGGCGGTTGCGGTGGCTGTTGCGGTGGCTGTTTGCGCTGGCTGTTTGCGGTGGCAACCCGGCGGGGGAGGGGGCTGTGGTTGCGGTTGTGTTTGGAGGGAGTGGCTGCTGCTGCTGGTTGTTGTTGAGGCGGCGCGACGATGACGCGGCTTGGATGCAGTCAACACAGTCAACATGAATTTCCGTGTGCCTGGCACGGTTCCACTGAGTCCTGAACCCTTTGGTGACCAAACTCTTCTTTTCTGGCTCTGAGGGGTTGCCTGGGGACGATTGAGCCCATGCTGAAACGACAACGAAGCCATGCGTCTTTCCAAGTCAAGACTTCCTGGTTGTAGCCTGAGGCTTGGACCACCTTTTGAACTCTGGTCACGGAGCCTAGGCAGCTGCAGCTTTCGAGATCTCATGTGGGCTCAGCTGTCAAGTTGGTTGCCATCTTTTTCTGCTGTTGGAGCGCTCCAGTCAGCAATCTCTTGAAGTCTACCAATGGCCGAGCCTAGAGAAACCCAACAACGCTACAATCACCATGAAGAGATTGGTGAAGAAGTGTATGGCGACCTCAAGTCCACGCGCATACACGACCGGGATGTGCGCACAGATGCTAAAATGCGGGCTCCGTGCGGTGACGCCATAGAACCTCCACGCAGCTTCCACCTGTTTTGCAGGGTCGTAACAGCATGCTGCCATCAATAATTAGTAGCCACCACCTTGCTGGTGACCATCGTAAGCGGATCTTGGGTCCACGTGAAGAAGAGTGGATGGTTGGCCTGTAACTGGCACGGGGAGGCAGGAGGAATCCCAGGAATTGTGGGATGCACCTTGATTCCAAAGGCTGCTTCCGCCTGCTGCACCGCCAGTCGAAAGTATTGCCGCTTGCCCTGGCAAGTCCGTCAACGTGCGTGCCCCTTCCTTCAACTCCTAGCCTGATGCCAGTGCGAGGGACAAGCCGCATGCAGTTTGGCTATGTCTTCTGCCTCATCAAGATAGCGAAGGCCTGATCGAGCGTGTGTGTTGCTGTACCTGAGAGCACGGATGTTAGGGATACACGGGTCTGCTTTTGCCACCTGTGGCTGGCGGAGATGAAGTCCTACATGCCTCACAACTGAGAGATTGAAGTTTCTGAGTCGCACACTCTCCACACCGAAAGAGCTGCTTTGATCCACTGCAACAGTTGACCCCCACTGCCCAGAAATCGTATGACCTTTGCGAGAAACAACAAGCATGCAAAACGCACCCTGTGACTATCAGCTGGTGCTGCATCCGAGCAGCGCTAGATCATCATCCCCACTTACGATGGGGACGACACAGTACCTGCAAGGTCATCCATGCCCAATTGGCATGGCCTAGTATGATTGTCTGAACATGTCTGAACGCTCTCTTGCAGCACTCATCAAAGTCATAGAAGCTCATCGACCTCAATGCCAAAACGACCGTGGAAGCACGACAGGCAAGTCCTTGTTCGACCACAGTTTGGGTCCCCAGCTTTGTGAAGTCAAGCCTGCTGCCGGAAGCGAAGTAGACTCGACCCGCATCCATCAGCTGCTGCCCCTTCTGTCGAGCAGGGTCCACAGCCTGCAGGTAAAGATCTCCCGGCCAAATCAGCTTCATACAGCCATACAGTCTCAGACATCTCAGACTTGCGCAGGGTAACTGCTCAAGTTCTGGAAGTCCAATGCAGCCTGCCAAGCAGCCAAGCAGCGCCACAACAAACCGTCACCAGAACAGCACAGCACCTCGCACCTCCATCGTGCTGAGGAAAGTGTAGTCACCCAGAATGGCTCCCATCAGAACAGCGAGCCCCAGCGTGATCGCAAAAAAGGCATACCTGTCAGGATGCTGCGAGGTACAAATGTCACCGTAAGCAGGTAAGCGATACAAGACACTCACATCAACTCACCAATCGCGCGGGGAACACCACATGGGCTGTGCATCCACGATGCGAGAACATCTGCCAACAGTATACCTTTGCGCCATTCAAGTTCGCGTGTCATGAGTGTGCCCGACACCCCGTGCGTTGCGCTTCGTAATGTTGAGATCCGGAACCAGCGTTCTTTGTGTCAGAACATGGGCCGAAGGCATGCGCTCGGATCCCGACGATACGAGAGCAGCAAGAAGACCCGATGCCTCGTTATCTTCTTCCCTCGCCAATTCTTGCAATAGCTTCTGCAAGCTCAACCCCAGTGATGCGGCGCTGAGACCGGCACAGCAATGGACCAGGCTAGGCGGGGAGTCTCATAGCGCACAGTGAATGCCAGGGCCTCTCAAGCACGAGACAAGCTTTGGCTTGCTGCCTCCAAAGTGCAAAAAAACTCCAAAGGATGTCGCACCCAGAACACAGTTGCGTAGGCCAGCGTTGGAAGCAGAATGTTGAGGCCAACCGCCAAGGCATTGAGCCTCTTCCTCACAGCCAGCATGCAGAGCATTCGACTGTGGCTTCGCCACTTCGTCGGTGTTGAACCTGCCTTTTGCCAGGCACGAAGGCTTGAGCAGAGATCTTGTCAGAAGATCCTGCGCTGTGTCTGTAGCCCTGCCCAACCCCAAGTCCAACTTTCAAAATCTGTCAAAGGCTGAGACCAGCTTGCGCAAATGTGCTGTACGGCATGGCCATTGCGGCCTGGCAAAAGCCAGCACTAAGCCACGACTAACATCCTTGGAGCCGCAAGATTATGCCGACCTGATGGCACGCGCTACGTTGAGAGGCCCAGGGATGATGTAGACATCTACACCCCTCACCTTGAGCCCATGAGCCTGCAATGTGTTTCTTGCTTGATCGCCAAACTGCGGGCTACATTGCTACACTCAGGGCGCAAACACAGGCTCCTTCCGAGCCTCTGACCGGGTTTGATCCAACTGCACCTTCTGTCCTGCTGTTTCACCCTCTTCTGACTTGCCTGCGCCCTGCCAGCTGCAGCCGGCAAAAGCATGGAAAAGACTACCACAGAAAGGCAAAGGCACTTTGCACAAGCCTCGGAGGGAACCGCCATGGGCGGTGCCCAGGCCACAGCCGCTCTTGCCACATCCTCAGACTCCTCCATCAAGGTTCCGGCATGAAGGTGTGCCAATCTGTTTTGGATCCCTTGCCCCTTGCACCTGAGCTGGCGAGGGCCTTCCGCGCATTGCTGCTGCACGCGCCACCTGGCTACCAGCACGTAATCACAGGACATCATGACATCATCAAATTCTGCCGTGGAGTGTCGGGCCTCCATAGCATCCCTTGGTCGTGCAGACGCCCAGGCCGCAGTTGCTGCTTCTCGTGCGGCCATTGCGGCCTGTGAAGCCTGTGAAGCCTGTGCTGCTTGTGCTGCTTGTGCTGCTTGCATGGCCTCTGCGGCATGCGCGGCTGCCTCCAGCTCTTGGTTCCGCTGCCTTGCGATGTTCAGCTGGCTTGCAAGATCCTGCATCTCTGCAGCCTGTACCGCCAGCTCTTCTTCCCTGCGAGCTGCGATGGCAGCTGCAGCCTCCAGCTCCTCGTTGCGCCTCTTTGCAGCGATCAACTGGTCTTCAAGTTGCTTCAATTGGGCTTCCTGCTGGGCCGCCACCCGCTCATGCACTTGAGCTGCCTTGGCAGCCTGAGCTGCTTCTTCGGCAGCATGCCGAGCTGCTGCTGCAGCTGCCTCAAATGCTGCCTCTGCGTCTTCCTCAAGGTCTGTTTGAGACTTGCGGAAGCGTCCTCCACCGGCCGATGTCTCTTGAGACTCACGTTTCGGCTTAGGGCAGCGCTCCGTCCTCCCGGTCTTTGAATCTCGCCGAGACTGGCGAGGCTCCCGAGGCCCGCGAGACTTTGAGCCCGAGCTTGCCAGGCTTGCGGGGCTTTTCTGAGTGTGACTCTTTGCTCCTTTTGGGGCGAGAAAGGCAGGCCACACAGACGGGCAAGTGTCTTCATCTTGCGGGATGCCAGGAATGTGGGGAGGCGCGTCTGATGCCGGAACCTGAACAGTCATGAATGGGGACCGCTGCTTGTTCTTGGCAGCATCCGATCTCACGTTTGCTGTGTGAACACTGCTTGCAGCGTTGCTTGAGGGCGAGCCTTTCTTGCTGTACGCACTTGATGTTTCATCTAGACTGAGGCTACCTTGCCGATAGCTCTGTCCATGTCTCTGCGCCGCATCGTGACCCTCAACATCCTCTTGCATGGCATCGCCCTTCTTCAGGATGCCTTTCTCGTTTGTCAAGCCTTCATCTCCACGCCAGTCTTTTCCTAGGACGGCAGGAGGATACTGGGCAGCCCAGCCCGCCGGCTGTGGAAAACTTGCAGGACCTGCTTCCTCGAAGTCATCCGCAACCCTTTCTGAACTGACGGGTCCATGAGGCACTGTCTCCTCACATCGCACGTTTCAAAAGGTACTACATCACGCGGGCAGGTTCATGTCCTCGCTACGCAGGCTCTCGATGGGGCCGAGGCCAGTCTCTTCGGAACCATCTGGAGTACATGATTAGTGCAGGTGGTGCACTCAATGTGCAGGCCAAAAGAATTAAACGCCAGTGCCTTGCAGGCTGCCACCTCGCAAGGTCATGACCGCTGCAAGCAGGCTGGGGTTGGACCGGCAGATCAAAGAGAAAAACTCTCACAGCAGCGTGTGCTCCAAAACTGGGAGTTGTACTGCCGTAGCGGCGGTCCCGCATAGCAGCCCGGAGCTGCAAGTTCTCACGCCGGATGACATCAACCTAAACATGCGGCTTGATTCTCAAATTGCCCACTTGCCCAACGCTTCCAAGGTTTTTGATGCTGCACCAGTCGGCAGCAGGCGGCTGCGAGCAATTTTGGCCCCGCGCATCTCCCTCGAGAAGCTTGAGGATAGCGGTGAGATTGGACACCTGCGTACATTGCTGTTTTTGTATAGAACGGTGGGTCAGCTTCCCTCTGCAGGCTGCGGTCCTGCTCTTTAGTCTCCAAGCACTGCTCCAGGACTCCATCCATGCCCTGCGATCCCCTCGGCGACATCAACCCAGCAGCCTCAGCACAAGCGAAAGGTGCAGAGGATCCTCATTTTTCCAAGCAGCTCTGCTGCAGCGGGTCTTTTAATTAATTAGCTCCTGGCACTTGCTCCCAGTGGCATTGTCATCGGCTCCTTCTTCATGAGTACAACTCTGAGTACAGGTGAACTCTACGGGGGGCATGTACACTACAAATGGCTTTTCAGCACCTCCTTTACCTACGAAAGCAGCCTGCGCGTCATCAAGCCAGACAGGATAATGGCCGGATGACTTGCTCAAGTTGATGGCAATTATTGGTTTGCCTGGCTTGCCTGGCATTCAGGAACTGGCTGTGTATCTGGGATGGTGGGGTGGGTTGGTTGGTCGGGTGTGTGGATGGGGGGCTTGGTGGCTTGGTCGCGGCTGGTTAGATGGCGTTAGATGGAATGGATGGAAGGAGAGAAACTCCGAACAGCAGATAGAGCGACAGCAGTTTCTTCAGAAGGTGTAGGGGTGTGACTTTTTCCATGCACGGGTACGGGTGACCCAGGCTCATGCTGACAGCTGGAGGCTGTGCATTCAAGGTGCACTGCCTATCTGCCTGCTGCGAGGTTGTGCATAGGTTTCCATTCCCACCAAATAACTAGGCATTCGTCACCCTCAGTTCCACGAAGTCATGTAATTTCACACCCAAAGATCCACTTCCGGTGAATCGAAGCAGCTGCAACGTTCATGGAGTGCAGGGCCTCCTTGACCCCTGGCCTCAACTACAAGTAAGACAAACACTTGGAATGCGGTGGTCCCATCAATGAAAGCTTTTGACACCCGACGTGTTGATTTGAGCTTATCAACTCTGCAGGCTCTCCTGCGGCACGCTGCCTGGCACTCCGAGATTGTGCGTCCTCGGTATCATACGGCTCTGTCAGGAATTCCCCGCTAGGCTGCCAGGGTGGACCAAGCAAATGTCGCACCTGCAAGCATTTCCTCCGTCAAGCGGCCGGATATCGATCCTAAGGCTATGAGACACACTTTTGCCGAGCGTAACGTCCCTCGGACTCAAGACAGGGCAGCATATCTGCTTCAAGCGAAGCAAGGGTAATTAAGAAAGCCGGTGCAAACCGCTACTTTCTGGCAGCGAAGCTTCTGTTCACTGCCTTTTCCAGGACTGCCAGGCACTTCTTGGAGCATTGCTGATATGTTGTGCATGATGGTGACAGCATGCGCGCTGCAATCTGACAGCCAAGGTCGAAAGCTGCACTGTCCACCCTGGAGAAACCTCATACCTTTCGTGGACCTGCATGCAATGAGGCTGAGCCTCATCCACCAGCAAAATCTACTCACGTTGGCACGCTTTCTCACAAATACTTTGCGCACTCATGCGTGCGGGCTGGGCCCAAACATTTCCAAGCCAGGTGGTGGTCGAAAGCCTGTCAGCAACGTGTACCGGCTGTGATATGCTGTGATATGATCAGCAAGAATCACCAGTACAGCAAGCCGCTGGCAAGCTGCCCTTACTCACTAAACGTCAAGCCAGTCATGCCTTCAGAGGCTTTGTCATCGTCATAGTTTAAGGTAGCTGCTTGGTACCTTTTACGGGCAACAAGCTGGGCGCAGATCAGGATTCAGCAGTTTGGCAAGGTAGGTGATGCATGTAGACGGGCGGCGCGTTGCCAACCTCCTTCAGCAGTGTAGCATCCTGACTGATAAACTCTCATGGCATGCCCATGAAGCAAAGCTTTGCTAGGTCTCGGCCTCATCTTCCAAGCACCTGGGCAACACAGCCACTGCTGAAACTGCAACTCGAAGGAAACTTGCAACAGCTTCAGCCAAAGTGCGTCAGCTTGTTTGGGCTGTCAGCCTGCGCATCCTTCAGGAAAAGCGACTTCTGAGAAGCAATTTAGAATTTGAACAGCAGAAGAGTAGAAGAGCCTTAAGGATCTTCATCTCTGTGCCCTGCTCCTTCAGGCGCATGTGCCGTCATGCGAATCTGCATGGCTTGTCTTATTTCTTCATTAATTCTACCCACTGTGGGCTGCTTTACTTATGATGCTGCTTTCTTGTCTCCCTCTGCTTGCTCTGATTACGTTGGACAAGGGGGAAGGAGGGGCCGAGGCAACGCGGAAAGCATCTAGCTACTCTGATAAAACTCTAGGGCCATGTTCAACAGCCTCTCCCTGTCTCCCCTGATCTCCCCTCAAATATCGGATAAGCTGCCAGCCACTGCGAGGCGCTGCAAGCCTGGCCAAGGCAATTAAATTTCTGCTACGTGATGCGAGACTGATGCGAGTAACACATCCTTGGGTACCTAAAGGGAATGGACCCTGCACCACCTCATTTTGCTGCTGGCGTTCTCCAACTCTAGCTTCCAGACACTCCGCAAGTGATACGCTGTTCCTGCTCCATTCTGGGGCATTCTAGAACAAGAGCTTCCTTGCGCATTGTGTGGGCTTGCTTGCCAGCGCGGCAAGATGGCGATACCCTGTCAAAAGGTTGCCCGGCACACATGCGCATACGCAAGATACAACAGTGAAGAGCTCATGCTTATCTGCAACTGTGAGGTGCGAAGGGTGATAAGTCTACCGCAAGAAAGGGCCAAATAAACATGATGAGAACAAGCAGAAGCCAAAACAGCAGAGCCACCGTGCATGCATGCAGCTTGGCATCTGCACATGTGCAGCCTGTTTCAGCTGCATTTTCTGCACCAGCTTCTGCCAGCTTAGCTGCCGGGTTACTCTTGCAAAGCCGCACGCCTCTATAATGCAGCACACACATCCCAGCTCAGGCTGCGCCGCAAATCTCACAGGACGTGCTTTTTCTCCCAACATCGAAACCTCTGTGCAAATGATTCCGAACAAACCCATGCCAAACTCGAAAAACAAGCAAGCAACCTCAACGTGAGCCAAGGCACTTGTTGTACAAAGACAAGCCGGCCACAATGATAAAGGCAATGGCAAAAATTGAGACGCCAAACATCCTCTTGTGCTGACTTGCAAGCTGGTCAAGCATTTTCTCATTTGACCGGCTAAGGGAGTCCAAGTGCCCGCTGATGTCGCCACCAGTGGCAGACTTGTGAACATTTTCTATGTCTGAATGCAAGTCCGCCAGCTTCTTCCCTCGAGCGTCTGTATCTCTGTGTGCCGCAGCGTGTATGTCTGCGAGCTCCTTTTTTATTGCCTCGAACTCTTCGCCTAAATTGTGACCCGTCTTTTTGTCAATCTCCTGCTTCACGCTTTGGAAGCTCCTCAGCATCTCTCAGCATCAAAGAGAAGAAGAGGCCAGCTCAATTAAAATTATGTTCATTTGCATTCTGTGGCATCTGAAGCTTGGTGCAAGCCAGGGCTCGCTTCCACGGAAGCTACCCGCTTGCTCAGTGCCTGAATCGCTGCCTTCATCTGTTCGCGTTGAGGCTTCGACTCGATAACGAGCTTGAAGACCTCACCAAATGAGAACAATAACACTCGTGCATTCACGCAGTCACGCACGTACCCAAACTTTCTACTACTCTGTGCCCAGCAAGCAGCCATGTTTGTGAGCTCTTTAATGGCCTGCCACACAGGCAGTAAGTGATATACAGGCGATTGCAAGCCATACAAATTGTGAGTCTTCTCTGTGGGCCTCTGACTCGGCTCTGTGGTCTTTGAAGCTAGAATGGGCTCCAAGAACGTCTTCCTTGTCGCCCGTAGGGGCTTTCACGTCTGGGACGCTCGCTATTGAATCTTCGCCTTGCCCCTCCGCAAAATTCAGAACCTGATCAGGCAAAGAAACTGCAGGCCGCACAAGTCACCCAATGACTGGCTAGGGCAAGATTGTAGGCAGGCTCGCTCAATGACTACAATCGAGCAGGAGGGAGGAGAAGGGCGAGGAGGAGGAGGAGGAGGTAACAAGCTGGTTCACGCAAGTAACACATACTCGTGCGGAGGTTCGCACGCGTTGCTGCTCCGATCAATTGCAGCCTGGCGGCTTTGAGGCCCTTTAACTCCACGAAAGCACTTCTCTCCCGTGCTGGGTAGTAAGTGTCCTTCGAGCCACCGTAACAGGAGAAGCCAAGGAATCCTCCGGACTTTGTGTTCCTGAGTCGAACATATGCAGGCACGCTCAGCTGCGCACACTTCAACTGTACCCATTTCTGATTTGCACACTCATGACAGGAAGTGTGTAATGATGAGTGAGGCTGGGTGGCGCTTTCAAGGTGATCGTGCCTTTCTTCTCGCCCTTGCTCTCTACCGTGATCACCACCGAGTCCGGCTGCACTCTGATCTGAACTGTGTGGTCCTCCCCGTTTTGGAAGTCAAGTTGCAGCGCTGCGTCCTTGCAAAAACAGAGGACACAGTGCAGCATGACTCAGTACAGCTACGGAATCCTCCATCAAAAGGCCCTGAATTGCTTTCTGGATTTGCACATGGCTCATCATCCTGTTTTGTTGATTCGTCTATGCGCGCGTGTCTGACCAGTCTGACCAGGATAACTCTGCTGCCTGAACCCTGCATCTGCCTCCAGCCCTTTCCTGAGAAGATGGAAATCTGCGTCTAGGCCCCTGGAGCGTCATCTGGGCATAAGCAGGGGCGATGTTGCGAATACACTTCATTTGCAGCAATGTGTTCTCTCTTGCTTGGGCTGACAACCGGCATGATGGGCAACCACTCTTCACATTTACCTTCGCTTGCACGCTTTGCTGACACAAGAAGAAAGGGATGGAAGTCTTTTGTTGGCATTTCACGGCTCTCTGTACTCGACCCCGCGGGCAGGAAGGAAGTACCAACGCGTGCTTCCACAAATATCAGTGGCACGTGAGTCCTGCAGCGGATAGCTGACAGACTGCTTTTTGCGCCTTTGGAGGACGGAGCGCTGCCCTCACAGAGATTCATTGGTCCGGGCAACTTGAGGACAGGGCGCGACTGCGGCGCTGCTCTGGCATTGCACCATTGCAAGTGGCAGCTGGCAGCACATCCGACTACAGGGCCCCCCTAGCCTCTGCCGTGACAGCCCGAGGACTGACTGGCCTTCATCTAGGAATTACTGCCCTCTCGTCTTCATGAAGGCGCTCCTGCCTCCCGCATGGGCTGTTCGCAAGCCCATGGCGACAACGATGACGACGAGGACGCCACGATTCACGGTTGTAATTACGTTGTATGATCTAGAAACATGCTTGGAACATGCACGCGCAAAGAATGCAAAGAATGAAGGGTGTGAGGGCATGAGTAAGCATCTGTTGGTGCAAGAACGAAGGGAGCAGAAAGAAAGCAACAAAGCCGAACACAGTGGTCTCTCTGCAGTAAATATTTTCACGTGGCTGCGTGTGACAACTTGATTGCAAAGGCTTGTTGATTTTGAGCTGTTTGCGGAGGCATAGGGCGCGCCTTTGCAAACCCAATGCAACGGAGCTATGCCTTGGAGTGGGAAGCAATCCAGGACGCGGATTTTGTACTTAGTTGCAAGGGGCATCAATAGCAGTGGTCGCGATTGTTTACAGGTCATGCACAGCCACCTCAAGCAGTCTACAACAGACGTGCCAAACATGTGAGCCTTGTTAGTCCGAGCACTCTGAACACACCTCTAGAACATGCCCCTACACGCTGCATTACAAAGGCCTTAAACTGCGTTCGAAACAGCATGTCATTTTTTGTGGGGTGATTGGGCTCTGCTGGGGTGGGATGGGGTGGAGTGGTAGTCACCCCACCCGCCACCCTACCTATACCCCACCCCAAGCCCACCGACGCTTTCTTACGGCTTTCTCATTACCAGCAGGTTCATAATTCATCCTATGATATCCCATGTCAATATCGTTCTAATGCCGATCGGCGGGTATGCTCAGAAACCAGGCAGGCGCATCAGTTGCCAAGGGTCCCAGCTGGGCAGTAGACCACCCGACCAACACCATCCCGCACTGCCCACCCAACCCCCGCCCCGCCCACCCCACACAAACTGTGGTTTTTATAGATTTATAGCTCAGTGAGGGCCTTTTGCGGGGTACGTTCCAGGGATATGTTGCAAGCACGCTTGCAGTGCAACCATGTCAGTTGTACGTGCAACAGCTTCCCACATGCCAGCTGTGCTCGTCAACAGCTGCATGAGCCAACTGTGCTTGCCGAACAGTTGCAGGAGCCAGGCACTTGAGCAGGTGATGTCTTTCTGTGATTGTTAGCTATGTTACATGAGCAAAGCGTGAAGAGGCTGGTGAAGTAGCCAAGCACACGAACCCGTTAGGGGGAAATGGATGTGTACGCGTGCGTGCTGGCACCGCTTCGCCAAACTGTCCACTGCAATTGCAGACCTGAAGACTCCTGAGTCTGGGCCAGGGTTTGCAGAAACACCAGGAGATGCAACAAGATTTTGAGTTCATGTATGAAGGAATTTCATTCGTACTGCCCTGGCCATCGCACTTGCTCCCAGTCCCGATGCGAACTGCCCGTTTGGAAGCCCAAAGCTGAAGCTGAGGAGGCGTCAGCCTTGATGAAGGAGGAACCATCACCGTAGCTTGCGCTGACAGAGCTCTTGCCAGCGTCATCTTTGCCAAACAAGACCTGCCGGCAATCTGCAAGCTGCTCTGGTTGAAGCTTGCAACTTGCAGGAATTCGCCAAAAAGACCATAAAGAGCCGAGATGCTCCAAAGCCTTTGTACTGCGTCTTGTAGCCGAAGACGCCAAGCCCCATCTGCTTAGCGTATGGTGCATACCATGTGCCAGCAATCAGCTCATCCTGGTTGTGAGCATGCTTGGTGCTTGCGTCGTTCACAACTTCCGTTGCATTCTCCTCCGAGTACCAGAAGGCAAAGCCGTCCTGCTCAAAGCCTGCTACCCCTGGCTTAGCGGAGAAAGTAAATTCTGCTGAGAAGTCACTGGTCTTCACAGGCAACCTGCTGAAAATGGTGCCTATTCGATCAGCGACCCCTGGCGTCAGGATGAGACTTCTGTGGCTGGGCATGGTTGTCCCTGTCAAGTGCCACATCTTCGCCAGGAGGTTTATGTCTGGGGGATTTGAGATGGAATGCCCTGGTAGGGCTGAAGGTGCAGCTTGGGCTGTGGAGAGCAATAAGCCTACTACCACCAGGAATCGCACATCACTGCACATCCTGCGGCCTTGGGCCGTCTGGCCTTACCAGCCGTCGGCGAGGAATTAGCAAATCCTTCGCTCTCCTTCGGCTTGGCAGCGAGCACTGCGCGCGTTGCCTCCGAAGCTGGCGCGTCCGGAACCGCTGCTGCAAGATAGCGCGGTTCGGCGCGCGGCCCTATCCTACAGCTTGAGCCCAGGCGTGGTAGAAATTCACATCAAGCCTCGCACCATAAAAGGACATCAACTCATTCGAACTAATCTGCAAGGCATGCATTTGGAACAGCAAGCCTGGGCTGCAAGGGCAAGTTCTCCTTCTCCTTCTTGGGCTCCTGTAAGGAAGGGCCCTCCTCTCGTCTGCATCAGCTCAACACGCGCCTTCAGGATTGTGGCTTGATACTTCGCCAAGCTCAAGTGGAGGAGGATCAGACAACCACTGTGCAATCGTAACCTGGTCAAAAAATACCGAAGCAAGGCACTGTCCCACCATATCGTACTGTCCCCTACTGCATCGTTGGAGTATGGCATGCCAAAGCCTTCTCGTGGCTAACGGCCTTCTCGCTTGTGTCGTTGCACCTCAGCCTTGTTGGAGGCACCAGCGCTGCATCTCCACCCTCATGGTCAGCTCGCGGTTCCAACGACTTGCCGATGGCTTGCTGGATCTTTTGCGACACTGGCGTCGCAACGCCCTCCTCGGCCATTCTCTCAGCGTCTTGAGCCACAGATACTGCTGGTACTGGTGCTTCACCTTCCGGCTCAAGACCAGTTTCATCAAAGTCCGCGAATATCTTTGCAATGGCAAAGTGCTCATGCTGCACTTCGTCCAGTTTCTGCGCAGTTGGATAATTGTCTGGCAGTACCACGTCCTTCTGGAGCATCTGGGGCGTATCCTTCTGGTGTTTGGCGGAGTCCTTAAAGCAGTTTTTCTTGAAAGCTTGTGTGAATCACGCAGGCATTTATGGCTAGCAAGCGACCTTTGCTGTGACTTTGCCTCTCTTCCTCGCTTTCTGAGGCTCCTGTACAAATCGGCAGCTCCAGGTTTGACGTGCTGGGACAGAGTGTGGAATGATAAGCATTGTGCACATTGCCTTTCGAGGTTGCTGCTGCTGCTGCTGCGGCTGCTGCTGCTGCTGCTTCAAGGCATCGCTGCCTCACAAAGCGTCAGTGACTCGTCAGCAAATGCAGCGACCAGTCCAGTTACTGCAGGCCATACTCGCACAGCGCCTTTTTGTCTGGATCTTTTGGAACCAGCCTCCGGCCCTGTGCAGCATGTTAATTGGAAGAAATAAGAGTCTGTCACGAGATCAGCACATGGCACCTGGGCTGACTTGCGGCTCGCCACCACTTGTGCGCACTGCCTGACTCCCTGCCCGCTCCACCGGCTTTTTGTCCTCCTGGTTTTCTTTCTCGTCTTTGATGCTTCCATCGTGATCTTGTGCGGGCTCAGCTTGAGAACTGTTCTTCGACACCTCTTTTTCTCTTTGCCGGCGGCGGCCTGGTGCACTTCTGGCACGATCCGTGCTGGGGCCAGCGTGGGGCGGTCCACAATTCACATACCAAAACAGAATGGATTGTGTCTACGCTTACATTGGTCGAAACTGGACGGAAGCCTGGGCAAGACTCCTGCACCACCAGCATGAGGTCGCGCATGCCACTGATCACGATCAGCATCTGAGCCTTTGCGCTAACGCCCTGTTGCCCTCTCATTTGTGAGAGCGTTGCTGTTGATCAATGATTGCTTCCAGCAGCACATCTGATGCGGACAAGTTGCAAGAAATTGGAAGCTGAAGAAATACGTGAGAACCTTCTCCAGCGTTGTCCAGGAGTCCTGATGTAGCAAGAAACACAGGACAAGATGACTCACGCGTATGCGTGAGTTCGACTGGGCGGAACGCTAAACACATCCATCAATGAAGTCTGGCTGTTTGCTGAGACGCGCTTGGGATGCGTATGGCGGAACGGAATAGTCACACTTCACATGCTAGCAGATTAGCAGAGCAAAGCAATTCAAAGTGGAAGGTAAGTGAAGCCTGCGCTTTGCATGCGAGCTTCAGATGCAGTCTCCGTCAAGGGCAAGGCTTCATCGTCTTTCCACAGCCTTGTGTCAGGAGTCGCTTGCACAGCAGCTCTTCAATAGTCTGATCTTCGTGCTTGCCTCCGTCCCGCATGCTGGTACACGTACTAGGGGCCCCCACGCAAACGTGTTGTAGTTTGCCGTGGCGTTTGGGACGTCGCCCAGCTTTTTGATGTACCTAGGTGCTGTCTACAAGCAATGGCAACATACCGAACATACCAAGGTTGGTTGGGCAGAAGTCCGGTGGCTGGCAAGTCCTTCTCCTCAACGCTCCACGCATGCTTCCTGAGCACTGCGAGCCGGAGCTTGGCAAAGCGCCCCAATTTTAAGCATCTAAGCCCAAGGCCTGTCTTTCCAAAGCGCCTGCTTCTGCTTCCATCGGAAACTTTTAGGAACACAGCTCAGGATGTTGGGATATGCTGGAAGCTTCCGCCTGGTTGATCTGCGCCCCTGGAAGTTGTGGATAGGGGCATTTGTACGGCTGCCAAAAATGCAACCATTGTGCAAATTGACGGCCATGTAGATTGACTAACCCACCTCAGTACACAAACCACAAAAATCTCGGGCATTCTCCGGTAAATGAGGGAGAAAGGCTTCTCGCGTCTCTGAGAGGCTGAGTGCCTAGCTGAGGGATCCGCTTGCAATCCCATGCAGACCTTAAGGACGATGTGGAATGCAGCACGTCGAGGCTTGTTACGGAACATAGGTCTTCTCCTCTAAAATCTGGGCAAGCGACGGTCCGCCAGCTCTTTGGTTGTATTTTGCTCCGGCCTGAGACATGAAAACTCCTCCCCAAGGACTTCCCTCTTCGTAGCACACGCAGCACGTACCGAGATGTACCGAGGAGGCAGCGCGAGGAGTCGCGCGATGTTGAGCAGTTTGGCAGCTGAGGCAGCAGGGGCCTTGGCCGTTTGGCGCATTTGGCGCATCGGACACACCGCTCTAGAAGGAGTACTGAGTACAGCAAGCCCCTGGCTCCGACGTTGACCTCCACTTGCCTCAACAAGCCTCGGCCAGCCCCCAAACGTGCATCTCTGCAAGTGCTTGGCCAGAATTCTAGATGAATGGAAATCGGCTGCAAAAGTCAGCCAGGCAGCCTATGCACTCATCAATGCAGCAAATGGAGAAGTGCGGGTTCGGAGCTACACAGTTGTGCTTTCCATCCACGTAGTTGGTGACCTCATCAGACATCGCCTCTAACAGGCGTTACTTGCAACTGATTTCCTGTAATCAGGCTGAGGGCCAGAATTTTCGGAGTTGGCTTACTCGAGTCCAGAAGTCCAAGTCCTTGTAGTTTCCTCAGTTGCAGAAGAAGAAGCAGAAGCAAAAAGTCACGCAACAGGCCGAACCTCATTTGAATCGAGGCAGAGCAGAAGCGAATGCCAACCGACACAGCAGAAACTTGAAGATTATGTGCTTGTTTCTTCTGGCGGAAAGGCGCATGCAATAAATGCAGTATAACGCAGTCCAAATACTCCATCAAACTGGTTCGCACAAAGCGCCAATTGCCCTGCACGCTTGGCAATCCGGCCAACAAGGGGGTAACATCTGCAGCATCATGTGGCAGGCGCGTCGTCCCTAATCCACGCATTAAGGCAGCCGAAGGAGTGGGGCCGACAAGCTCCACGGTGGCCAGGAAAACTGATCCCTGCAAGTTCCAACACCCTTTCTGCTGGGGTTTACAACTACCTTGCATAGTTCGGGGTTCTGAATGAAGCGCTCTCATGTGGTGCTTTCGTGACTGTTCAGCCAAAGAGCTCAACAGACTCGCGGAAATAGTACTTGCTGTTACTGACCTGGCATCAAAGAGCTGCCCGAAACAGTTAACATCAGCTAAATCATCCAAACTTGAGCAGCACAGGGCCTCCGGCACGCCATAGAAAGCCTGATTCAGCAACAAGCCCAGCCCGCGCAGAAAATCTCATCTGCGCATGCAGCACACCTTCAGTGAGACTCTCCCATCGGCTGTCTCGTCCAAACTGCGCAAAGTAGACTTCATATCTTGACCTGTTAAGCGATTCGGGCGAAGCCACGCACCAAACAGGATCAAAATGTGACACGAAAGCAGGAGATTCGCTCCCTGTAAACAATGCGTCTCAGTGGCAATCTGTGTTTTGGAAAGGGCCATATGCACGGAAGAGCTCCAGGAACGCGGGCAAGGCATCTTTGAATGAATAGCTTTGTGCCTTGGATGGGTGCTGCGGTATCCCCTGGAGTTGGAGTCTTCGAGTGACACTTTGCTCCATGACTAGGTACTCGCGGCAGCACACGCCGCACTGTGGACGTGACCAACTTTTTTAGTTGTCGAAAAGACTCCTCGTTCTGTGCCGCAGCTTCCTCGTGCAAACCTCACACCGAAGGCGCGGCATGGAATCAGCGACATTGCAATTGTACGTGAGCGCCAAGTGACGAAACCGGCGGACCATGGTTGCGTCAGCCCCCTGCTTGAAGGTGGAAGGTTGCAAAAGCACCCGGTCCCAGTCATGCCTCCAGTATCATCGACGGGGTGGCCGAAAGGGCTGTGGCAAGAAGGGGCAAGGACTCTAGCTAAAGATAAGGCACACCAGGATCAACGCCGAAGACAGAACTCGTCGAAGCTCCTGCATTTAAGCGAGAGCAGCTTAGCCAGAGATTCCAGACACAACTTTGAAGCCTTGGGCGCAAGAAGCTCGTTCGCAGTGTGGTTGCGCAGCCTCCATGCAACCTTTCGCAGGAAAATGTGATGGGATATGATGGGGGCCTCATCTGCACTTGGTCCGCACGATAACAATTCGGGGTTCAGGCTGTTTGGGAGCGAGCTGAACAAAAGAGTTCATGACTGGGCTCCAAATTTAAGCAGGCTTTTGACAAGCCATGCAGCACTGAAGCTTCTCCAGATCTAGTCTCAAACCTGCCATTGCTTTTAGCTCAGATGCTTTGAAGGCGACGCGGATCTCTTTCAAGATGAGCCTTTCAGGCACTCGGCTGGGCAACTTGGTTCAAGAATCTATCAAGAAGACGCTTGTTGCACGAAGGTCCTCTGCAGAATTGCCACGTAGGCTGCAATTTCACGCAGTGTGTAAGCGTAGCTTGCTGGCAATGCCTTAGGCAGCATTTACTCCTGCTGTGAATGACTGCTAGGCACACCCATGGGCCGCAGGCAGCTGCCATAGCCTGTGCGAGCTTGGAAGCCTTGTTCTGGAGCAAGCTCACTTCGGCCAAGGTCTGAGCAGCAGAAACAACTCAGCGAACTTCGGCACTGCCTTTTCGAACGAACTGGCGACTGAGCGCAAGTGGCCGTGCCTGCACGGGGCCTCGAGAAAAGGGATTGTCCTGCCGAAGGCCTGCAAACAGGCAACAGCCATAGAGAACGGATGCTAACATTTGAGTTGGCTCCCATGCTTGCGGATCTTCATGCGAGTTTGGTTGCTTGTACAACTTCTGTCAACCACAGCTGGCGACCAAGTCTGACCCCCCGCCCTCAATGCCCTCAACATGTCGGTGCCTGGCAAATTGATGCCAAAGTTGGAATTAAAGAAGATGTGCCTTGGCTCACTCAAGTGCGTCCCACTAGCCAAAAGCTCCACCTTTTTTCTATGACATGCCAACCAATCAGAAATCAGAGAAGGCCAAGCAACACCAAATACGCAGCAGCACGAGGACCCACGCGGCCCTTGCCTGCCTTTGGAAGAGATCGGAAGCTGGGCTCCATCCACGCCTGTTGATTCTTGCTTAGCAGCTGCTTGTCTCCGGCAACAAATTCCAGAACCCTGCCTCAATTCGTGCAAGTAGAGGCAATGTGTCTGCATCTTGCCTGTCACGTGCACATGAATGGCAATGAGTACACTTACAAGACGTTATCCGCGTGCGCATGCTTACCAGCCAATAGCTGCTAGCTGTTGGTGACGGAAGCCTTGTAGATCCTCGCTCCCTTGCCCATTGTTGTCTGGATTCTAGAGAAATCTCTTTTGGAGTGGCGCACAGCTTCTTTCACATTGCAATGGGGCACTCGCCAGCAGATGTAAATGGCGCCCATACGAAGAGGAAATGCCGACAAGAGGCTCAGTCAGGGACCGAACCAATGTAGCCTCCAGGCCGGTGTCAAACACCAGCTCCTCCGCATTGAGATTGTGCACCGAAGACTTGTAGCATACGCAAGCTAGTGAAATGTGGTGAAATGTGAGTGTTCCACGGCTCCTGGTCAGGCTCAGACTTCCAGCAGAAAGATGCCAGCAAGGCAAGAACACAGCAGCAAATGACGTAGCAGCAGAGTTTTGGGGCGACCTGTGCTCACTGGACATGCTGAAAATCGCAGAGGGCTCCGCATGGCTCCGGTGCTGTATGCCGTCAAGGCACAGAGGACGCGTACATCGGTATGAAGGTTGCAGAAAACGTCGGGGGAACACTAACGGATGCTTGATCAGCTGGCAGCGCAATGCATTACCCAAGTCAGCTGCACATACACCATGGTCCCCTGACTGCAACAAGGCGATGCTTAAAAAGAAGACGCCATGCTATGAAAAGTGAGTCACCTCAAACAGCAAACTACCTCAGTTGGTGGGGCCGGGACTGCTTCTGATTTTGCGGATTGACATAGGCCGGCGCCTTGTAGCCAGCAACCTGACAAGCTCCCCATGGACGTGATATGCAACTGCTTGCGCGATTCCGATTACACAAACGACAGTCTGTGCAGCGACCGATTAGGTTGTGTTCTTGCCATTGCACGTTGGCAAGCCGCATGGGCAGTGCCATGCCAGTTCTGTGGGCAGGGGACCTCCCTCAATGTTACCCCCTTCTGAGCTCACAAGGCCGGCTTTCAATTTGAGGCTGGGAGAGCTCTGTCGGCAAGAGATCCTACGTGATTCAAAAGCTGGTTGGCACTTCTTTGATGGAGGTACGAACTTGCTCCCAGGTTGGTCTCTCGTGCGGTTGCACGTTTGGCGGTTGTGGTTGGTACAGCTTCCCTTTGTCATTGATGAAGTAGGCGTTGAGCTTTTCCTTGTTCCCTGGCCTCTTCATCCCGCTTCACAACTAACGCGTCTTTGGACTTGTTGGGCTAGGACAGCTTGGGTATGCTTGGATGGAATGGTCTCTATTTGAACCAGGTATTGGGATGTGAGACATGACTACTATTACTACAAGTCACACTTTTCCACATTTCGATTTGGGTGCTGGACTGGCGGTTCACTCGGACAGCGCATCGAGCAGGCACCAGTTGATGTCACAGATGCAGCCTGTCTGGCCACGCGCAAAACGTGCTCTCCTCTTGAAGGGCCGGGACCTCCGGAGAGCGAGACCGCATGGGTGCAGCTCCCGGCCTGATCTTCCAGCAGCAAGCCAAGTGTCAAAGGTCCACTGTGGCAAAGCCGAGGCAAAAGGTCAGGCCACGTCTGCAAAGTGAAGGGAGAGCCTTTTCAAGCTTTCGCTTTCGCGGTCTTTTTTCGCCCGTGCAAGGCGCTTTGGCACTTTGGCACTTCTCCACTCTCAAGCCAGGTGGAGGGCTGAAGCCTCGGGAATCGGTGTGCTCACCATCGCCTGGGCTTTTGTTCTTTTTGCAAGCCCAACTCGTCACTTTGCAGCACTGTGCATGGCACCTGCATGGCGAACCCATGCTCCGAGTTTGGCGAGAGCTGCAAGGTCACATTGCCCATGCTGGCCTGCTACAGCACAAAGAAAGACCACCCAGGAAGACTCAAGAACAGGTAGGTTTAGGTAGGTGTGCCTGTCTATGCACCGTGCCAGCTCTGAGTCGTCCAATTGCAGGGTAGTAGCCAACTCCAACCTGTGGCGTGAGCCAGACTAGTGGCACTAGCAAGATCTAGCAAGCTATGTACGAAGTCCAAGGCCAGAACCGATGACCCAGCGGAAGTGTGCTCAATGCGACCGCCGATGACAGCCGCGAGGACCTCTTCGGCACCTCAGCAAAAAGATCGGCTATACAGCCAGCAAACCCTGCCGATCTCAAAGCTCTAAAGCAAGCGCGCTCATCGCTCCAGCGTACAGCAGAGCAGAAATGCGCCACCTTCCCAAACATCACGTTTAAATACATTTGAAGTACTGTCTATTTATTGAGTTAGTTCTACATGCCTGTATGTATGCTTGCTTGGAATTTCTCGAGCAAGGCAACACATGCCTTCTGGACTGCGGCTGTGCAGTGCCTGGCTTGTTCTCGTGCCCGCACCTCAGTCACATCATTCCGAGTGAAATGTGAGACAAATGCTACAGGGATGCCGCGATAAAAGCATGCACGCAGGCTCGTGCATCAGACTCATCCCTCAGTCCGCACAGGCGGCTCCGGACATAAATTAAATGCCGCGGCACCTCTGATGTCTTCAACAGGGCGCCGCTCTGAAGACGACCTTCTTCCCAATTGCGGAGCACCTCTTGGCTCCACCAAAGGTAGATCATTGAAATCGCTTAACCATCACTCAGCTAGCAGATCGGCTGCCTCCAACGCGACAAGTGTAAAAGCCCCTCAGCTGGACAATGACAAGTAGCAGCTGTACAGATACACGGTGCTTGTCGCAGCATGCCGAATTGCACGCCGTGCATCCGACATGTCCTTGCGTGATGGACAGTTCTGGACCTGAGACATGCACCAGTACCCCGTACACGATCAGTACCCAGGTGTCTCAGGAAAGTCGCACAAAGCGTCCCTAAGCTCAGCACACATGACGCATGGGCTGGGCAAAGCGGCGCAATGCGGGCAAAAGCAAACCTGCAGGTCGAAGACTTGTTCAGCCCGCACATTGTGCTTGATTCGTTGTGCATTCTTCGCAGCAGGAGCATTGTCATCATAATCAGCTTCTCATTGCGTTGGCACAGGCCTGTCTTAGACCACTCACCTGCTACATTAAGTGTACATCGGTACGTATCATAAGGCTTGAGCCAGCTTGGCCCAAGCGATAAACACGAAGTTTGCTTTTTCTTGAGAGAGGATGCTGGACTCTCATCTAGGGTGTGATCTGTGTAAGGAGCAGTCCTTGCCATGGGATGGAAGGCCCGCAATGTGCGACCGCTCGGCGGGAGGTGCTAGATGAGGGTCTCAAACATGTGTCCATGGGCAAACAGGGTCCCCTACTTTTCAACACCCAGCTCAAGTGTACACGGGAACCCTAACCGCACACACCCTGCACCTTAAACCCTACACCTGAGCTAAATCCTGTTTCAGAAAATGTGGAATGTTTCCAAGACCAAGGAAGAATTACTCGAGTCCCCAACTTGCCACCATATCAAACAGGTCTCGGGTTTAGGAGACGGTTTAGAGTTTCAACACACGCCTCGCACTGCAGGCACGGCATGTCACGTCTGGTGGTTTCAGGATGTCGGTGTTGAGATTAGGTGTTAGCTTGTGGGGTGAGCACCGTGGTGTCGAGTCATTGCGAAACATCTCCAACGGACTTGGGGAGCTTTGCGCGAACACGAACCCCGCTGAATCCTTAGTACGGCAGGACTACCTAGCTCTGGAAAGGGAGCAACAAGCGATCTTGTCGTCACTGTTCTCTCTTGGCTGTGACAGGCTGTTGCTACACAGCATCCAGATTTTTCTCTTGGAGGCTGGTTTCAAACCTTGGGTGCGTTGGCCAGTGACAGCGATACCTGGTTCGGGCGGGGTGAAGCTCACCTCGACAATGGGCATCCTTACCAACCAGCACCAATTGTTCGTGTCGGCGAGCTATCATGGTAGCAAGACCTGTTCCTTGCGCCCTGTCTGAAACGCTTGAAAGGCGTGGTGTTTTGTGTGGGTTGGTGAGGATGCTAGGGTACTTACCGTCGGTGATGCTTTGCACTTTCAGGCTGACACTCTGTGGAATGCGGGTCAAATCTACTCTGATGTAGTATCAGGTCTTTATTTTTCAGTCCGGTGTTCTGCCGACTGGCTACGATACCCATCTCAATGATTTTTCACATTTGCTAATTTGCTAGGAGCGGAAAAGTGAGCACGGGATGGTTGGTGGGGCGGGAACTGGAGCGCTCACCGGGACCAGGAAGATGGTGGGGTTGAAGCGGTAATAAGAAACCGGGTGACGAGGAACTCCCTCACACCACAGCTTGGATGCCAAAAGGCTACTGGGAGTGCTTGTGCGACTGCTGCAGAATGTCTCTCTAGACTGACAGGGAACACGCCATGATGCAGGCTCTCAACGGAATTCCGCGCCTGCCGACATGCAGTGCACCGGACCAGGTCTTTGGCGCGACCGCAGCGCGCACAGAGCCGGGCCCGCCTGGGTACAGGAGAGGACGCTTGGGCTTGGACGACTTTGGGCTTGGACGACTTAAGGTTTTGCTTCCTCGGCAGCAGACATCGCTGGCGCCGGCTGCCAGGCCAAAGGCGGCTCCGAGAATAGGACGTCTCCCGGCAGCAGATCGCGCACCGCAAGCAAGGCCTGGATCCCGGTGACAAAGCCTTGACCAGATTTGATGCTGTGGCCCTGTGGCTCGGGCTCCATCACGCCGGCTTTCAAGCAGAAGGCTTGGCACGATCTGCTCCGAGAAGTTGACTTGAGATGGTCTAACAGATGGAAGCACAACCTGCCTGACTAGGACATGCAAGAGCTGGGGCTTGCCGTGCCCGGGATGGGCACACCTTTCGGTGCATGGACCAGTGAGATCCTCGGCAAGCTGCCACACCCTTTCAGCTCAACAATAGCCCAGCGCGGCACATACTGAGCGGCACGCTGCCACAGGATTCGTTGCAGTAACGCACCTGGCCAGGGCATGCCGACGCAGAAACTGCTAGACCGCTACACCTAGAACGATCGACGGAGCTCACAGGCCAGCATGCTCTTTCGTACGCACAGTTGCTGGAGCTCAGTCCCCATTTTCACTGGTCCACTGGTCCACTGGTCCACTGGTCCGCTGGTCCGCTGGCCGTGCGAAGTCTTTGAGTTGAAGCCTTGCGACATAGCATCTGGCGTTGGGCTCAGGATGTTAATGGTGGTGCCGCGGGAGGCTTTTGAGAGCGTGCAATTACACAGGCAGCGCAAGGCAGCAACGAGCTGATCAGGGCCAGTGCCGCTGAGACCTTAAAAAGCATGACCTCCCCGAACTGGTGCAGGAAAAGCCCTCCAATCCAGGCAGCGCTGCCCTGACCAACACCTACCCAGCAAGAGCCCACAAGGCTCTGCATCGTTGTTTGAAGCTCACTGGGTGCAATGTCATGAACCTCAGAGACAAGGCAAAGACTCAACCAACTGGGCTTTGTCATGACCACAGCCGCGTCACAACTGCAAGAAGCATGCCTACCTGACACCGCTGCGCAAACTGAATCATTTGTTCAACCATTCCTGCCCTGTGGAGCACCCCATACGTAATGTGTCTGAGTTGACGATGCTGACCGTAGCAGAGCAGACTGCTTTTTAGTTGTTTCGCGATGTCGACCTCTCTCCCGAGGTTGGACAGGAGTGACATTTCAGCCAAGGATCGTCCAGTGTCACTGCAGCATTTGCAATGGAGAAGGTGATTCCGTGCAAAAGCTCCCCAGGGAGCACCCATGCAGCATCCCAAAGCCATGCGATCCAGGCCTGAGAGCATCAAACCATGGCGGGTACAGTGCCGGTCAAGTACAAGGCCCAGCCTGCCGGAGAGCTGCGCAAAGCAGCGCCAAGCTCATGATAGGCCTGAACAGGAGGGCCAAGGCAATCCAAAGCTATCGCGAAAGCTTGTCATCATGACCTACAAATCACAGCCCAGCAATATCTCCAGCAAGTCACATGATACCACAGCGCTGGACGATTGGGTTTGCGAAATAAAAGAAAGGGATCTCGGAAAGGATCATGCACACGGCGCTGAGACCCATCACTGCAGAAGAGCCGTGCTTCAGGTGTTGCAACCTGACGTACGTGTAAGTCTGCATCACGCCCTCGCCGAAGCCCAGCGCGACCACAATCAGAAGGGTCACTGCCACGCGAGGGCTCACGATGAAGCGCATCAACTCACCGAGCCGCGGCCTAGGATGTAGGGAGTCCTGCGAGCGCTCAGGACCTTGCCGGAACTCTTCCGCTGTGCCTTCAGAGGATACGGTTTCAAGTGGCAATGAGACCGAGAGAGATTGTTCCCGAGACGAGCTGCGAGATAAACAAAGTATAATGATTGACATTGCCGATCCAACAGCCAAGTTCTCTACAAACAATATGTTGTAGCCAATGGACATGCGTAGCCACTGGGCAAGAAGCCCGGTCAGCAAGGATCCAGTGGCAAAGCCAATCCCTCCCCACAGTCTCACTTTGCCGTACGCTTCCTTGCCCACATGACGAAGTGTGATCTCTGTCAACATGCCTCCGGGAGAGCATGCCGCTTGAATGCATGTAAATACCAAAGTCCACCAGAATGTCCACCTGGCAGGTGCAAATCTGATGGCTGGCCAAATGGCGCACTGGCTGCACGCCTTGAGAAATGATAAAGCGGCGAACAGGTAGTTCCTCTTGCCAAATGAAATTCGGTCGGCCACAAAGCCAATGAAAGGGCCAGAAACGATCGGCGTAATTAAGCCCAAGGCAGAGATGAGGCCAATCGACGACCCTGAGAAGCCAGCTTGTTCGAAGAGGATGACAACAAAGCCTTGGGGCCTTTGAACAGCCCATGCAAAACCCGACAAGAACTGGAGCAGAATGAGGTTGACAAGAATTTGGATGCTCGTATGCATTCAGCTCCACGTGCTCCCGTCATGGCTCTTGGCCACATCTAGACATTGGTGCCTATCGCAAGTTGGGCATAGTCAAGGCTGGTCTGCACGTCTTCTTCACAAAGTAAGCCTTGAATCTAGATTTTGTCCTTATGACCTAGGCCGCGCATGTCGCGCAGGTTGTGGCACGAAGCTATCCTGCCTGTGCTTGATGGAACGAAGAGGCCATGCACTGGTGCCAAGCAATGTCTTTCCGCAGTGCCCGCCTGGCGACATCCACCACATGCCCAATCTGCATCAGCGGAACCACAGCCACCACCTATTCAAAAACTGCTTCGCAAGCAGGAGCCTTTAAGCCCGAAAGGGTCCTGCAGGACCCTCAGAATGCACTGAGCGTGATGCATTTTGAAACTCCATCTGGGATGACCTTCCAGGCGTCATGCCGCAGCAGCGCCCCCTTGCTGGCCAAGAACATGCCTCCCCGATGCCATGCCGGAAGCGACCAAGCTTATGAGGCGGAGCTCTCTCAACCAGGTGACCTGAAGCAGTCACGCGGTAGACTAGAGAAACAAAGATAAACGAGCGCTTTGCACATCCTGCAAAAATCTAAGGATGCAAAATTAATTTGGGAACTTTTGGATGGGTGGGGGGGCAATGTTTTTGGGTTTCTTGTTTTTGCTTTATGTTACTGCTTCCCTCACGCCTTGACAGCCTTTGCCGAGGCGGTTTCGCGTTAGCGGTTAAATTATGAAAACCTATAAGATTTGCTGAAATATGCTGAAAACCGTGAAAAATGATGAGAGATTATGATGAAACATGATGGGAGTATGAAATGTCACGAAATCTGATGAAATATGAAATGAAGAAACATGATTAAAATGAGGGAATATGATGATGATACAGTGAAAACCATGAGAAACTCTGACACATCATGAAACAGCATGCAATATGATGATATATGATGAAACATGATGAGATATGATGAAACATTAGGCAGGTCATTGAAGATTGATGAAAACTATTGAGAAATTCAGGCGAAACTGTTGAAAGATTATGGAAGGTGATGAAACATGATGCACGCGATGAAAACCGTGAAGAATGATCAGAGAACAAAAAAATGAAGAGCAGTCATGAAAAAACATTGAACATTATGCCATGATTTGCATTGATGAGCAGTGGTCAAGCATGAGCGGCCTTCAAAACGGGCAGGGGGCTTGGGTGCGGCACAGCCCTGCCATTTGCAAACAAAATGCTCTGTGTAACCATGGCTTCCTGCAAACGTAGCATGGACGGCATTTGAAAAAGTGGCCAGGGGGGCAGGGGGGGGCGGGGGGGGAGTGGGGCTCTGGGTGGAGGGGGGGTTGGGGCTCTGGGGGGAGGGGGGGTTGGGGCTCTGGGTGGGGGGAGGGGAGGGGGGGTTGGGGCTCTGGGGGGGGGAGGGGAGGGGGGACCACTTGCAAACAACAAGGATGAAGATGAGGAAAGACCATGGAAACTATTGTAACATGATAGACTATGAAAACCAAAGCAATAAGGATGACAGAACAACTTGCAAGAAAAGGGTGTGAGAATGATCTTTAAGAAATGAAGTGGATGAGCAGTCATGACAACGTTGAAAATGATGAAAACATGGCAACTGCTGACAGCTGATGGAAATTATGAAAGTAAGGGAAAAACATGAAACATAGTGACACACGATGGAAAACGGCAAGTGATAAGCAGAAAGGCAGAAGCAAGAAGCAAAAAACAACAATCGTAGATAGTAGCTATTGGGCAGCTGTGTGCAGTCAACGAGAAGCAGGAAGCTAAAAGCAGAAAGCTGTGAGCACTTGGGATCGCAGGACGCAAGAAACAGGAAGTTAAAGGCTGACAACAAAAAGGCAAGAAGCAAGAAAGATAAAGCGAAATGCAGAAAGCAACAAACAGGAAGCAACAGGCAGAAAGCTACAAGAAGAAAACGAAAGCGGAAGGTACAAAGCCAGAAGCGAAAAGCAGAAAGCAAAAAGCAGAACGCAAACAACATACAGCAAGAAGCAGAAAACAAAGAGCGAGGTGCAACAAGCAGAAAGCAAAAAGCGGCAACAGAGGAAACCAAAAACAGCAAGAAAAAAACAAGTTCCTACATAAAATAGGCCGTCGGAGCTCATTGCACATCCTGGAAAAACGCATGCGGAGCAAAGCACATGGCAGGGTCTGGGAAGGCCTCTGGCACTTCTTAACTTCTAACTGTTCTAACAGGCCTTGACCACTGAGCATTCATTCGGGGATTCACGTTCCTGAGCCAAGCGTTCAAACCTGACGGCTCAGGTCCCGGCCGCCAGCCATGAAGTCAGCCCATGCAGCAGCGACCCCCGTGATGTCTGTGTCGTCCAAGACCTCGCTCTTCGAGAGTCATCTTTGCGCTAGGCCGCTGCGCTGCTAGTCCAAGATGGCGGCCATGATAGACGCCCACTCCTTGCGTGCCATACGGCAGCCTTCAGGAGTCAGGGTCAACATTCAGGATTTGTGTAATCCTCCACGATGACCATTTTGTTCTCCAGGCGTCAGAGCAACATTCACGGCGCTGCAATCCACGTCTGTGGACTGCAGCAACGTCTGACCCACTCCCCAACCCTGGACACCGTCACTGCACTGCTCAGTGGCTCGGTTGACTTGTAGTCATGCCCAGCGGCAGTTTGGCCAAAACTTTGCTGTGCAGGACCATCAAAGCCCGTTCCTTCACAGAGGCTGAAGCTCAGAGTATATACATATTTGCCCAAAGGAAAGGTCGTTGCTTGTCCCTTCGGGACAGTGTGGCCTTTCCACAGCCTCTTCTGTACAAGTTACCATGCCGCATGATGTTCTTGTCTCACCAGATCTCCAGTGGGGTGCACCAAGACAAGCTTTGCGGCCCAGTCATTCCTTCCAATTTACGGGCAACAAACAAGTCAGGCAGTGAAACCACAGGCCTGATCCTTGACAATCGGTCGGATGGTCTGCTCAGCGCGGGTCTGCCTTTGCATGTGCACATTAAAGCTATGTCAGAAGCAGAATGCTGCTAGCCGGTTGGTGCAGGCACTTGGGCCTGATGATGTAGAAGAGGTTCATAAGCTGGACCTGTCCGATAACGCAGCTCTCCACAGATCATCTTGGCGCATGCTTTCTGGCAGACTCCAACCAAAACGCACTGCTATTGATCCAGGTGACACTTATGAAGATGACGACACAGCCAGCAATGATGCCCGCGGTCAACATGTTTTGGCGATATATGGAAACATTCACTGCTATGAAATTCTCGTAGCCCTCCAGCCCAGATCCGCAGTAGTCCTGCCACAGTGCGCACAGAGCTGGTGCACATCTTAGGAACATCGAGCGAAACGCTCCTGTCGGCACTGCTCAAGAGTAAAGCCCTCACCGGCTGCCATTTCGATGATCTTGCACACACCCTTCCAAGCAGCCAAGCTTGCGACACGCAAAGGTCAACCGTGGGAAACAGCAAACAATCATCCAAAAATTTGAGACGCCTCCGCTGAACCCAGATGCTCATTCACGCCAGAGATTAAGGAGCCTTGCATCAATCAAATTGCCCTCGTGCAGTCACGGGAACTGCTGATTGGCCCAGCGGCAGAACTTTGGATGGGACGGATCGGAAAGGATAAAGGCCTGGGTTGGCGACTCAACTGAGGAGCATTCACCACACTGTTGCAACACTCCATCTGGAGTTGTGAGCTACTGAGCTACATCCGCTGTCCATAGACTTTGGGAATGACCGATCTTCACTGAGATCAACCCCGAGGTTCGGACTGCATCCTCTGCAAGGCCTTCATGTTGGGCCTTGCACTGCCGTGCTGCGCCATTGGCGGCACGAATGTCAAACAGCTCCGTCGGCTCGCAGCCTGAGATCCACTGAACTCACACTGGAGCCCTTGCAGTGATGCAAGTTGACGGGCTATGACATCAGATCTGCGCTCAGACCGAGCAGGAGGCATGTCTGATAGGTCCGGCAGGCGAAAGATTCCATTTTGGCGTAAATGTCCTGCACTGGGCCCACCCTCGAAAGCGCACTGCCCAGTTAGGTGATGCTGCCAGGATAACTGAAGCGTCGCACAATACTGGCTAACGCGCTTTAGGATGCACTCATCCTTTCTTCACATCCCCTGTTGCCTTGTGAGCTCCTTCCTCTGACCATGCTCCGCTCGAATCGCCAGCCTTGCGAGTAGCTTCAAGTAAGCGTCACAGCAGAGACGCCTGTGCGCAATGAAGTGCCAGAGCTGTGCCTGTGACAGAGAGCTTCTGCTGAGCCCGTCCACGTCTTGGGCATACTTGGCCTTCAAGCCGTGGCAGAATGGGGTCTCTGCGCATGCTGCCAGGCGCTATTAAGATCAACATGCACTAGATCTACCTCAGGCAAGTGGCGAACAAACCCGCTGTGCAAATGAATATGATGAGCATGATGATGCCAATCGAAAGGTATATTGTCATCAGGCAGCGGTAGCCATTCCTCCAACATCACACACACGTCACACAAGATTCTGTCAGCACGGTCTGACATGGCGGGCTCTCGAGCATCCGCGCCTTACGGCGTAAATGCCAAAGCAGGCTAGCAGGGCAAGGCTGACACCAGCACCCAGCACCACGTAGACTGCAGCTGTGCTCATGTAGCCTTCGATGACCTGTCCAGGACTCTGAGGATGACAGCTTGGTCCCAAATGCACAAGCGCATGATAGTACGTGCCTCCTCGTTGTACAACACAAATCCGGATGCTGCAGCCGCTGCCACTCCACATAGCAATACAAGTGTGGTGAGGATGTAGAAGATCTTCTTGGATTTCTCCTTTCACGGATTACTCCCACCATCCTCACTCTACACGTCTTGACCGTGCTACTCCCAAGACTAGAACAAGGCAAAGGCTATTGTGGTCACCTGCTTGCCATCGGTTTGTGTCAATCCGAGCCTGCCGACCAGCTGGACACAAGCAGGTCTTGCAGCAGAGGCCCCAGAAGCAAATGTTGATTGGTATCAAGACGACCCAGGACCTGAGAGTGGGCATGCGGGTTTGCTTGCACAACTCCATCACAAAGTGCTTTGTACACGGGACATCATGTTGAGGCCAAGTGGCAAGCCTAGCAAAGCTCTCATGCACGGATCACCCATGAAGTCTTCTTGGCACTGATTAAGATTGGAGGCATGATCTAGCAGTTCGCTGGCCCATTTCTCGGCGCCTGGCCCAGGGATACCCAGCACATGTCTGAGCTTTGAATCGCTCTGCCTGTCGAATCCTTTTCTTTACATCTAGGAACAAGCCAGCGAACATGCCAGCATTTGCCAGCCTGCAGTCTCAACCTCCCCGCTGGGTGCATTCTCACAGGAAGCAAAGCCCAGACTGTCCAGCACGCTCGCGTCACCTGGTCGGGAATAAATTTTGATGCCAAAAACAGCTTGGATATTGGAAGATGCTCGGATGGCACGGAAGCTTGAACTCTTCTTTGACCAGCCTGTGAAGCACTCGACGTCACACAACGACTTGCCGTTCTCAATTCGGCTGCTGCCCGTGCAGCCGGGAACGCACTTCGACAAGGCTTTGTCCGTGCTGCTTGCCTCAAGTTGGAACCAAATTCTCAAGCAAACCAGGCCACATGAACAACTTTGGTTTTCAGCCATGCATCTGCAGCCCACGTGCGGTCACATCGAGATGAGGCAAGCCCTGTCACCGTCTGCACAGTTGGCCTCTCCACTTGCAAATGGCTCAACAACCGGAGCGGGGACGAATGGGCATGCGAGCTGTGCGCTGGCGTGTGGCCTGGCCTCTCTCCACATCTGCTGCTGACAAAGGCACACCCACGGCCCTGGCCCCAGTGGACACAATCTGCATTGCCTTATGTGTGGCGCTGTGCGTCCCCCTATACAAGAGTATCTTCCTTCTCAGGAGCTTCTTGCTTAATGTCATGTCTTGCCCTTGCCACCATAGCTGCTGTAGTTCGCAAGGTAGTGCCCCAAATCCTCGAACGATGCCAAAGTTATGGCTGAGACAGCGTCACCTTCACCGTAGGCCATTACATCATCTCGCATGATCCTGGTCTCATGGTGCGAGTCCCGACCATAAGGCGGCCAGCTCATCATGGGCAGTCCCTGCCACTGATCATCATCGTCACAGCCAAAGAAAGCTTTGGCAACTTCGTAGGTTCGGGTACCTCTCACAAAGTGATACACCACATCTTCTGCACCATCAGAATCAATGACCTTTCCTTGCTTGATGCTCAGGCAGGGACTCCCCAAGTGTGACATCGGAAAAATCACAAAAAAATTCAGAATTTAGAAGCCGTCCAAGGGTCGCTGCTCGATGAGTTTCCGACGCTCCCCAGTGCTTCCGTAGGAATTCAGCCAGGCACCCGAGCCAAAACCAAGTCCATGAAACACCTCATGGATCACCAAGCCCCTTACCGAGGACAGCAGCGTCGCACGTGGCATTGAGAAGTCATATCGTGAGTACCAATTGAAAACGATGTGTACGGGCCTCCCATTCTGATCCGCGGAACACGAGCCGCCGGTACCACCAATTCCTGGTACTGGAGAAGGACCGGTGATACTAAGCACCACATCGGCTTGTACGCCTGCATCGCAGAATGAATCCTCAGCTGATTGCAGTGGCTGCTTGCAGAGACGTGCATTTACAATAGAGGGCCCAGAAATATCGGTCTAGCTGTTGACAAAACATGCTATGGCTCATCTGCGTCTCTGGAACGACAACATGCGAACCTTTCACACAGTCAGCATTGCAGTAGCTGCCCAACTGATTGGTGCTCGCCCACATTGACGGAAATGAGCCTTCCGACTTCTGAAATACCAAGCTGCCCTGCACGGGCTTGACACTCAAATACTTGGCGATTTCTGCCCCGTGTTTGTGGACCGCATCAATGACAAAGTCTCGCCATGTTGTAGAAATTACATCATCGGCAGTGCATTTGCACCACTTGTCCTGGCTGATGATTTCCATGCCCACAGTGTCACGATTGCAGTTGTCAGGACCTGCTCCTGTAGGCTTCGGATCACTTGGAAAGTTTACCCTGTACCAGTCACCCTCATTGAAGCAATACCTGTCACGGAGGAGAGGATTCGCCTGTACCTTGTCCTCGTACAGCGTATCAAAGTTGTAATGGATTCTTATCGGACGGGTGTTTGACTGTGACAGCGTCGCGCCACCCAGACGGCGGTCTTTCTGTCCACGCGCATATTTCTGGCTATGCGCCTTCAAAGGCCTTCCGTACTTCTGGATAATCTGATCTAGAAGTGGCTTCGGGGAAAGCCCTCGGCTTGTTGCTTGAAACCCTTCTGCAAGCCTCCTACCTTCGAACTCGTCTTTAGCGCGCCTGGCATCTGCGCGAATGTCCTCCATGATCCGAGCTGCATTGTGAACGCGGTCACGTCCCGTAGCTCCGGATGTGGCAATCCCAAAAGCCACAAGGCAAACACGAGCTAGAGCTGAGGCCATGAGAACAAGATGCCCGGATGCAGTCTGAACTGGTGTCAGACATTTGGCATCTTGAGCCACAGTCCCAGCACTGGTCAAGCCACAAGCAGCAAGCGCAGGCAACTGCGGACTGAAACACTTAGGCAGGGACAATTTTCAAGATCTGTCCTTGCTTGCTTGTACCTCCAAGGATCAAGCGCATCATCACTCGTTAAATGTCAAACTCAACCTGCACTCTAAGCTGCAGTTAGGCTTCGCACTGATGCCCCCCATCTATGTGGAACATGTCAAACTGGACGTATGGATGTTGTTTGTGGTATTCTGGCCTCTGCCGCGTGTTAGGAAGACAGAGAATTATGCAGAAATCTGTGGGCATGGTCGCAAACCTTGGCTCCATGCAGAGTAGATGTGCTCGAGCCCTCTACCAGTTGCAAACCTCGCCATCAAGTGGACACATTAGACACTTGCGCATGTACCAGAACTACGTGGCTTCATCGTGCAAATGCCAGGCAGAAGGCGATCCCGTCCAAAAATCGACTGTAGCACCTGCATTGTGCGTTGGCTGGGCAAACTGTGAAGTGAAAGTCCCGAGTCCTAAGTGCATGTTTTGGTTCGCCTCCACGCAGGGTTTGGTGTAGACGTGTTCACAAAGATCGAAGGCCACGACCTTCACTGCAGGGTTTGCCAGCCTTGGCTTCTCACTGCCACAGGTAGGAACCGATCCTCGTGCGCATAGGGTTTATCGATTTGTGGCATAGCTGAGTTGAATCGTTCAAGCAGAGCAGCTCTGCTACCTTTGAAGCATGTCCTGGACTCCTGGGCCCGGCCAACTTGCAACCGAGCTTCATCATTAAGCAGACTGAATGGCCAGCATTGAAGCCAATCTCAAGCAGCAGAGGTTCATGTCCTGAGACGACCAGCAACGAAGACACAAAACACCAGCACCGCCGCTTCTTATCCGTGCCGTGCCAACTCCTGAAAGCTGTGACAGCTCTGCTTGGCGCCTCGCTTCGCTTGGACAGGGACTGCGACAAGTGGAACAAGTTCCTGCAAAGATGGAGTCGTGCAAAAACTGCCTTGTCGAGAAGGAGTTTGTGGTTCGCGGCTCCTCTGCTTCGCTTCCATGTCTGGTTGCGGCTCCCAGGAATTCCTAGCATTGCTGCATTCCCCTTCACAGTAGGGTATGTAGGCAGGGATTCTTGCTTGCCAGCCGCCAGGTATGCATGATGTTGCCTTCGCATGGCTCGCCCAAGGCCTGACAGAGATCCCTGCGGAGACATGAATGCCCAGGCATACTGAAGTTGTACAAGCAGCCGAGCCTCCACACACTTCCGTAAGCTTGTGAAGGCATCTGCCACAAGGGCCTGTCAGACTGCCATTGCGGACGGACGCTTTTGGTTGCATCACACGCAAAAGTTTTGAGCTTGTTTCTGGGACGACCACCTTCTCAAATGCACCCATCGCTTTGGTTTCTGCAGGCCCGTCATGGAAGGCCTGCAGAAAGCAGCTTGGCTCTAGTTGCAGAAGGGTCTCGTGCCCAGAACATCTGCACACAGAGAGGCAACCCAATTACACCACTTGCTCACACCAGCCTTTTCCAAAGCAGCAAGCCATGGGACAAGCGCTCCACATGCTTCCTGCTATCTGCTGCGACAAGCCTGTAAGATCTGTCTTTGACATCAGAAGTGCCTTGAATTGCAGTTGTACCGGCATGTTCTTCAGCAGTTGGGGCTGCATGCCCCATCTGGGCAAGTTCTCTTCTACTAACAGCTTGTTGGCCACCAGCAATGTTAAGCCTCCGTCAATCATTGCTTGCTTGGTGTGCAGGCCGTGTCAAGGACAGTAAATCTACACCCGAGGCCCTAGGACTGTAGTGCTTCCTGTCCACCTGATCTACGAGGCCCTACACCCTTGAGCCAGAGGGAAGCTGCCGCAAAGTCAGCGAATCAAATTTGCAGGCTGTCAAGGATCACCAGGCCCACGGCCCAGCTCCTGATGGAGGTGGAAGTTCCTGAGACTCTGCTCTTACACCAGACATGAGGACCAGAACTGCTGAGTGGCACGCCACCCATCGGTGACATGGCTGTGTCACTGGCTGCGCTGGCATCACATGCCTCGTGGCTTCTGGAACCATCGAGGACAGCAAATAGCTATGCAGCTACTCCTTTCTGGAATTTCTGGCCTGTGCTCTGCCTGTGGGCTTCCCGAAGCGATGCTGGCCGCCGGGCTTCCTGACAAGTCACATCGAATGGACACAGCAGTCTTGCATCATGTTGTCACATTCTGCATTTGCATTCTGCATTCATTTGCATTCTGCTGCAAAAAGACACCTGAAACATTGGCCGACGATGCCATTGTTGCTTGGGCAGGCAATACCAGCCTGAGCCAGCGCTCCCAAACCCAAGGACTCACTTGAGAACCGAGCATGGAATGTCTACTGGCCAGACCTTGCATTCTGATGCTCGTACCAGCGTGCAGGCCAGTTCTATGCAACAACGCTACTTGGTGCATTTGTTCGGAAAAGGCTCCGGTTGCAAGATGCCTCTCTTTTTTTGTCTCATGTGGGAGTTGCGGGAGTTGCGGGTCAGGTAGGCTGCACCCCTCCCAGTGCCTTGCGCACGTAGGGCGACCAGCCATTACACCAGTATCTCCAACAACTGAAGCAAGAAGCCGGAAGCGTGAGTTCGGGCTAGCCTATCTCTAGCGCACACTCCGTCCATGTTTTTGAGGCGACAAATCGCATCAGGTGCATGCCTCTCTCTTTCTTCATATCTTGCTTCGTATTCTTGCACCATATGGCTTCTGGTCTTTCTTTCTGCCTTGTCTTTCTTCATTTCTTCTTGTTCGTGCTGCGCACGGTCCACAAGGGCCGCGCCAGGGAGGCGCCAGGGCCTCGCCCCGTAGCACTAGCCTGTGTTCGTTGGAATCAAGCGGAGAAAGGTCTACAGGGTCGAGTTGAACGCCTACTTTCTGAAAACCTGCCGCACCTGTCTTCTCCCCAACCCCTTACCCCAGTCTTGTACAGGCGTTCGCCCCCACATCTTGTATGCGGCCAAGTTCAGATCCACAGCGATTGACCTGCACCTTCTCAAAAGAGTCGGCCTTATCAAATGTATGCCCTTCAACCGCGATGCTTGTAAACTTACAAGTGANNAATGAGCCGTTCCGCAGGGCACAGTGGTTTTGGCACAGGGCCATTGGGTTCGGCACACGAAACAACAAGGACCCAGTATCAAAGTTCCCCTTTCTTCCCTCCGCAAGACGGTCCCCGCACCCAACCGACTTCGAAACCACACTACATATCTACCTCAATCGTCCTACCTCTGGCTGGCTTCTTTTGCAACAGGTTTTTCTTCGGACGCGGAGAACGCGGATAGCCTCCGTTCCCAGCTATGGATTTTGGAGTTCCTAAGTCGAGGGTTCGTTATTGCTCCGTTCAGAATTGTTCCTGAATTCGCCTGCAATCAAGGCTTGGTGTCTCGGTAGGTAACAACTTCTGGGGCCTTTGCCCCTACTCTTACTTGTCCAAAATTCCAGACCATAATTCGTCCACCTTCCCTCAAATTATTCCAGGATCACACATATGTCGCCCTAATTCCTTGCGTGGTTTGATGCGTCTATCTGGTTTAAAAAACTTCCAGGGCTCCCCTGTGATCGTATGCCGCAGGTTCCCCCAGGTTGCGCGCCAAATTCGTGTACTTTGTGTTGTCCATGCTCCTAAACTCGACGTACTTGTCTGGACACTTACCTGATCAAAGATCTTCAAGTCAACGGTGAACAGCCACTTGACATCCCTTCTGCATGCTAGCACACTGATAGCTTTTGCTCATGTTAGGTGCTCATCCAGGAAGTCTCTGGCGATAGCACCTGCAGGTCCTGAACCAATCATCTTGTCTACTTGTTCTATCTTCATGGCGAGTTCATGGCTCATGGATGTTATTTTCCTGCGGAATGGCTTCTTCCTCTCTACCTTGCTGTGCCATATGGAGAGTCGAACACCTCAGTTGGTCCACCACAAGAGCCTGTTCTGCTCCATGTGCCTTTTCCACATCGTCCAGCATCATCTTCTGCTTTCTCCCAGGTTGGCGAGCTCCCGGATCCCTTCCGGATGCGGCAGGTGGCACTTTCTGCCCTGCTCGTTTTGTATAGCGACGCCACTTCCACTCCCTGCGCTCCAGTTCTTTCCCTTGATCAGCGCTTGGTTTACATGCTGCAGTGATTGTCAGTGGGTGGCCATCTTCCGTATCTTCTCAATCTGCTTGAGCTGACTTCTCTGATGTGTCTGATGCTTGTAAGTTTCCTCTATATGGTGGCAGCTGTTCATCTTCCGACGAATTTGGATCTTGCAGATATCTTTTGCAATGGCTTGCCTCAACAGCATCGAACTGCTTCCTTGTTCCTCCCCTTTGTCAACTCCCTTTATCCGACGGCTTCCTTCTGAAAGGTTGTCTGGGGGGCGCCCCCCTCTCATTCTCCATGGCTGACTTGTTCCAGTTTCTTCCAGGTTACCCCCTGGTATCTTGAGGACTTTGAGGAAGGTTGACTAACACCTCCCACAGCAAAAAGGAAGCAACAGTAGGCTTCACTTCACTCTTAGCGGAAAAAGCACTTCCCAACACCCCCCCACAGAGTTAAAGACAAAGCGGAAACTAAAAATCAAATTGCTTCCATCAGTTCTCTCGACGATGGCTTACTCAATTTGTGTTTCTGAACGCACAGACGACACTGACATGAAGTGCACCTCTCCAAGCTAACTGTATACTGACAATCCCTTCTCAACGGTTCCAAGACTTCTTAGTTAAACCCTCCCCTCTTCCAAAGTTTGTGTCTAAAAAGGAAACCATTTTGTGACCTCCAGCCGCCCCCACCTGAAACAGATGTCCACCCCTCAAGATGCGAGCGAAAACCCTCCCCCCTCCGGGGCGCTTTCGAGCGCACCTCCACAAAAAGAGCAGGCAGATGACTTGAGCCAAAACTGTTATTCGAAGCTATTTATGTCTTTCTCTTTTATTTGCGTCTTTCTTCTTTGTAGTTTGTTCTTTAGTTCTTAGCTGTTCTTTATTGCGCTGCAAGTCGCGCCCCTCGCGGAGCATGCAGGAGCCAGGATCTCTCAACCTGTCGAGTGGGCTGCGAAAATATGTGGCACTCCCCAATCATGCTCTCTGGTCAACAACCTAGCTTGCAACAGGTCCCCGTTTCTACGAAACAATACAACTCGCGTGTGCCCTTGTCCAAGCGTACTGTGATGGCATTTTACGGAAATGGTGTTATCAAGCGAGCGGCCGTGCATTGGCTGAGAGTGCAGCCACAGACTGCAGTGCTTCCATGTCTATAGCAAAAACGTGTGCAGGTCATTATTTCGTTCGTTCTTTCCTCCCCTCTTCTTCTTGTTCTGCTTCTTCTTCTTCTTCCTTCTTCTCCAGTTTCTTCTTCTCTCTTTGCTTCTTCTTCTTCTGTTTCTTATTGTTGTTCTTCTTCGTTGCTCCTCTCTCTATATCTCAATCAGTCTCTCTTTCCCTCTGCGACGCGCTTGTTGAGGCTACAAATGCTGGCAAGGTGCCGCGGAACTGCAGACAGTGCTGCAGGGAGGGTGACACTGCACTGCGGCGATGCGGCTTGTAGAAAAGGTGTCGGCGCTGTCATGATGCCTGGTGCTTGGGCTGTCTGTGTGTGGGAAGAGTGGGCAGTCTCCGCTGCTTGCGTAGCCTGCCACTGAGCTGCGGCCTGCGCCTGCGCCTGCGCCTGCGCGGCATGTGTAGCCTGAGCTGGAGCTGTCGAAGGACCTGCCCGTGGCCCTGAGAAGCCTTGCACCAATCCATGGTTGTCAAGTGGTGGTGCTGGAAAGACCTGCAGTTGGCCATCCTGCGGAGCGAAGCCCTGCTGTGGGTGCTGCAGTTGCAGTGGGTGCTGCAGGGGATGCTGTGGGTGCTGTGGGTGCTGTGGGTGCTGCGAGTGCTGCGAGTGCTGCGGATGCTGCGGGTGCTGCGGGTGCTGTGGGTGCTGTGGGTGCTGTGGGTGCTGTGGGTGCTGCGAGTTCGGCTGACCACTTGGTGGCAACGAAATGGGCTCAGACGGAGGGAGCCCCATCAACTCCGCCACTGGCTGCCTCGGAAAAACAGCGTTTGAAGGATCAGCCTCCTTCATGCACATTCCTAACCAATGTTTCTTCGCAGCACGAGGTGCTCCTGGTACCCGTCGTTCATCGGCAACATCATTCCCGGGCTCTGTGAGCTGGGATTGGCTGCTTTCATGATCTCAGCGCTTGCTGCTAAACAACTGTCATGACTTCTACTGCGTCCGCAACATCTCACAAAGCAAAGATGAACCACACGACGTCTCAGGCTATGACGGAAGGGATTGTGAGGCTTTTTGGAGACGTTGGTTGTGGAGGAGGAGGAGATCGTCCGCGATTTACTCCGTCAACATTCTGAACTGATATGCTGCTTGGGCCTTAGTCTTCAATCCCGCTCAAAGCTAAATCATCTGTCTGGGGCTCGCTATATTTCTCTATGCTCAGGCCGCCTTCCAGCTTCAATTTTGACTACACCTCCTGTGCCTTCCCGGCTAACTCTCTCTTGCGTGAGGCATCAAGGCCAGCAGAATACACCAAAGCCAGTGAAACTGCTTGCTGCCATACCCACCTGTTCCCGGCTTCCGCCCAACAACATGCATCAGCTTGGCTTAACTGCTCAATGTTCTTCCCAGCTTGAATGCGCAAAACATGCACCTCAGTGGGGCTGCCCCTCAATGACCTTACCTCCATTCGGCAGCCTCAGACTTGTTTTAAAGAAAAAAATATAAGTGTATATATATATATAGATAGATAGATAGATGTCGGCACCATGCAGGCAGGCTGCAATGGACCGGAGCAAAGGCAATCCCTTGCCGAACAGGAGGGGATACAGCCCGTGTGGGCGGACTCAGAGAGCGTGCCTGGCGCCATCAACAAAATAAGGCCCAAAGATCGATTCGGCATAATTCTTGAGTCTGGACTGAGGTCAGAGCAAATCGGTTTCCGAACTGCTTCATCTGTGTCTGCGTCTGCTGCCTCACTGACGCATACCATCACGTCTGCTGTGAGTTTCGGCTTCTGAGGCCCATGCGCAGGCCACACCATTCCTTGAGGCCGCTATCTGTACTGTCTAGACATCTTTGATAGATACACTGGCATTACTATAGCTGGCGTAGGCGCAGCGTGCAGAAAGCAGCGGAATGTCGGATCGTTAAGTGCTCTAAGGTATCCCCGATAGTCTCTACGTCCGTCAACTATAGCTCACCAACTTGCTGCAGCGCTCATGAGCAGCCATTTCTCATGCCAGCAAAGAATCGGAATGGAGAAGTTGAACGCAAATCAGGACTAGTCGGCGTCAAAAAGCCAGCCGGCCTCAGTGATGTCAGTCCAACGGAGGGGCGGCTTTGCGATATCTGACTGTCAAGTGCTGATGTTGTTTCTCATGCGCTGCTGCATGCACTGAATGCCACAAGATATCAGACACAAGGCGCCCACAGCTGCATCACGTGTGGTGATGATGTCCCATTTGCCATGACCTCTACGAGCTTGGGGTACTCGAATTGCACGAGCATTAATCCAAGCTCCTTGTGTAATCCAATGCCAAGTGTAGTTACGGGGGTTCCTTCGCCTGAATCATTTACACACATTGCTACTTATGGCTAAGTCTTCCGGGGGGGAGACCTACAGCTTTTCCCCTTTTTTGGCACATTCCCCATTCAACTCATTCAAGGCCAGTTGCTTTCATAGCCCCTACTGGAGGAAATCTTGCACCACCTAATATACTACACCTTATACCCGCATGACTAAAATATTTTGGGCTTCCTAGGTGGTGCAAGATTTCCTCCATCCACCGCAGTACTCGAGCTTTGAACAACAAACAGTCTTAGTCTTTCTTGGCTGTGGACGTCGGGACTCGGCCAGTGTGCCACAGGCTCAGACATCAAGTTCCTGAGCAAGAAGCAGTAAATTCAAAAACGCAGTGCCGCTGACTGTCCCAAGCTGCACACGTACCAACATCAGCCACAAGACCTCGGATTCTTCCGTTGCAATACCGCTCGCGGTGCTTGTAGCAAGGCTACGAACTCTTCAAAGCCTCTCCGGGCACTGGACCTTCCAAATGGCCAGCAACTGCTGCCATACGACGCGGGTTCCTGCAATGTGCCTCACGACTGTCTCTCTTCTCACTGGCGGGAGACTTGCATGGCCATGCCTGCGGTCAAGTCTTTCCGGAGCCTGGCAATCACTCATCGATCACCGATCAAGTCCCTACTCTACAGCTGCTTCACCCAACCCATGAAACTTTCCAAACCTTCGGCTTGACTTAGCGCGTTCAAGTGCTTGGCGTAGCTGCATGGTCTACAATATACAAGCTGTTGCTGCAGCGCGCCTCTGGCTGCGGGCTTTCTCGCTCACTGCGGCACTAGTCTCTTCGGAGCCAAAACCAAAGAACAGGTCGATGCAAGCACAATGGCCAACATTACTCTACAGCACAGCACATACAACTGGACGAAAAATACATGACGCAGAGCCGACTCAGTAGAGCAAGGCCACCCTGTGCTTCCTATAAATTGACAGCGCACCCTCGTCGGCTTAAGATATTTGGATCTGGCAAAGGGAGCTGTGGAAACGGTGGGCGAACATCCTGCCTGATAGAATTGAATTTTGGCAGCCTCAGCCTTAGGCATTGGCACAAGCTAATACAGCTGCCATCTACAGGTATGCCATGGATGGCCTTTGACCAACAGCCAAACATACTGGGTGCGAAACAAAAGCCATCAGCTGTGCTCTGTTGTCAGGAGGCATGAATACAGGCTCCTGGGTTCTGATCCTTAATTTTCTAAATTTACGGCTCTGAGATTATCGATTTGAGAAGGTTCGGGCTCTGAGATTTTTTAGTCAGATGGTCTTGGGATGGTTTGGGGATCTGAGATTTCAGTTTGAGAGGTTGGCACCCCCAAGACAACTTCCATGAAATTTTGCTGGTGCTGAAGCACCACCCCAACAGTTCCCCGAGCTCATTGGCCTGGGCGGCCTGACTAACATGTAGCCTGAAGACTCAGAACTCTGAAAACGAGTGGTTCAACTTCTGCTACTAAACATGAAACATGAAGGTTTGAGCCAAGAATCCGAGCTCCACTTCATCTGGCATGTTCTTATCCGAAGCTTGCACTTCGAACTATGGACTGCATGTCCCTGCCCTCTGTTAGTACAGGTGGCGCGTCTTCATTGCTTTCTAGGCGGAGCAACAAAGGCAATGCGGCAACTTGGCCTGTCTGAGCTCATGCATCCACTCCTTTTGAAATCCTCTACTGCAGTGCGGAGTAACCGATCACTGCTCGCACGCAGCCACCAATCCTGCAACGCGTGGCATGACTTATATGCTTGAAGGCACTGTCGCAGCGTATCCGAAGGTCGCGCTAGCAAGACAATGGCTTGGTCCTTTTCTTTTCAAGCAGCCCTGCTTCTTGTTACGTCAGGACTCCAAATCTGCGTCCAGAATACTTCTCAACTTGGAATCTTCGTGCTCCTGAATCAAATGGCTGCAACTTTGTGCAGCAAGTATGCACCAGCTGATCGCAGAAAAACTGCCTTGCTGCAGCCACTGCTGGGCCGAGAGATGTTTGGGCATATTCGAATATGGAAACTGTGTCCGAATGACTTGTTCCATAAGCTGGGGGTATCGCCCGACGTAGTCATTGATAATTGCGCGCTCATGCCGCCAAAATCCAACAGACATGAGCGTAAATCCCAACCACGCGCCGCACATGAAAGGAATTAGCGGCCCGACAGCCAGCATGACGCTCAGCTGGCCACAAACGAGTCCGAAAGTGACCCCTCCGAACGTTGTGTAGGCCATGAAGCGACCAATAAATTTTGCGCGTGCTGGGACAGAGATTCCAGATGCTGCGACAAGCTCAGTTAAGCCTTCCACCATTGCCGAAGCTGCGCCAGCATGCAAAGCCCACTAATAGTAGCAATCCATGACGTGCTGTGCGGCAGCGGCATGCAGCGGCAGCCATTGAAAAAGACTTACTGCACATGGACTCGCAAGACATCCATCTAATTTGCAGGCGGGGCTGCTTGCAGTCCTTCATCGCGCTCGAGCGCGCATCTAAGGGACACATGGACATGAGCATCTCGCGCAGGTCAGGTGGCAGCGGGCCTGCAGTAGGTGATGCTTGCCGATGGTAAGCGCAGATGCTGATCTATCAATCAAGGACTCAGAAACCAGCAGAAGTGGCTTATTGCGTCGTGGTCAGTCTCTAGGCCTGCGAGCTCAATACTTATGAGCACGAAATATCAGATGCCAGCATGTTCTCAACCTGTTGGCAACTGCCTTCCGGCGGGCAAATCAAGAACATCTGCACCAATTCTCAACATTGCTGACCGTATGTAACACATGCTGGCACATGTTCATACGTTTGCCAATTGACTCTTCAGGTGCCAATTCTCACTGCCTAAGAACATAGAGTGCAGGAAGATGCGGGGGCAGGGGCCATTGTCCTGCCAGCACCGCTCCCTGCGCACCCTTTTCTCACAATGTGTATGGCTGAGGGGATGGCTGGCTCTGCTCCATAGAGAGCATCACCTCGAAATCAATCTGAATCTAAGCTATCTGCATCCGCGCAACGCATACTACTTTCCAGGATCGCGCCGAGCAGTGGGAAACCTTGGTCGCTGAGGTGCACCTGAGGTGGTACAATTTCGTGGGGCGTCAGCCGCCTTCCAAGCTCCACGCCCGAATCTGATGCAGTCTGCCCGTGAAGATTTCAACCTGGCAGCCGGGTTCGAAGAACCTTTTCAAGAGTATTGAGTATTGGTCTACTGGTGCCCTATCCTCCTTCTTGCAATGCGACTGTTTCAAGCTGTCAAAAAAGATGTCAGATCAGGCTGCATCTTTTCGGCTGGTGCTGTCCGAGCATGGTCGTTGTCTATTCCTACTCGAGGTCCACGTCAGCCTGGGTTTCATCGAAAGCGTCATCTCAAAGAGATCCTCTCCAGCAATAGATTCCGGCTTGAAACAAAAACTCAGGCATGCGCCAAAGAAGCTTCCTGGGCAGGAGGAAACAGCACAGCCAAAGGTATCTCAAGAAACAAAACAGCATCTGAAACGCGGGCAGGCTGCGAGGGCAGCCTTCTTGTTCTTCAGAACATCCACCTCCATTATTCGCGCCTGCTTCTTTGCTTTGTAGTCGGCAATGAGCTTTTCGCATTCCTGTAGTCTGCTGTGCTGCAACATGCTGCAAGCAGGGCAAAAGAAGAACGTGAAGCGCAGTAGAGCTATATGCTATATAGAGCTCCTCTTTCAGAGTCGAGGCAAGCTGGTCGGCGAGGCCCATCTGTTCCTTCAAGGCCTGCAACTTAGTCTGCACAGCTCTTATTCTGTCATTCTTGACAGCTTCTTCACCTTGCTCTGCTGGCCTTCTGCCTGTCCTGGATGCGCTGCGACTCAGCTGCCAGTGCTGCCTGACCACCCACGAAATCGGTGAGCGTGTAGGCATCCTTCCGACGAGACTTGCGAGCCACCTCACCACACAAGAAGGATTGGCAAAACGCTTTCCTTAGTCACTGAACTGAGGTAGCCTGGTGACCCTCCCTGCGCAAAAACAATCAACATCCAAAGCGCAAGCAATACTGATTTCACCCATCCTGCACCGTTACTTGAAACTTGTTGCTTTGAGCCTTATTTCATCCTACTTGCTGGGTTCTGCGACTGGACTAGCTGAATTCAAACGCGGAAAGATTTGGCTCTGAATGCTCATGAGAAATCTGAGCAGCCATTTTTACAGACTGACTCAAGCGGCGCACACCCCGGCCCCTGGTCCTGCGAAACCCTCCATGCAAAGTGTGCAAACAGATCGTCCCTCTCTAGGATATGAGGACAAAGGATCTTGACCAGGAACCTCGATCAGCTGAACGTAGGCGGCCTGGTCAGCTGCCTCACCTAGGCATCGTATAACCAGCGTTGCACAGGAAAAGTCTACCTCAGCACTACTTGACTTGCCCTGTTGCAGCCTGTTTGCACACCAACAATCACTCAGGCTACTGCATGAACAGTTGTCAGCATCTAGAATCTAGCGACCTCTGTTTGGCCCTTTCTCCCCAACTTACGCTGTCCGCCTGCGGCCGGGCAATTCTGGAGCACAGCTCGCGCGGCACAACTAGTGGCTGTGGCAAACGCACGATCCCAGTCAAATACGCTCAGCGGCCTTTCGGCTAGAGATGGGCTGAAGCTCGCAGTATCATGCAAAGAGCACTTCATTCACCGAGGCTTTTCAGTGGAGACCAAACAAAACTTGAAAGGTGTCTCAGCGTAAATGTGGCATGCCCAGCCAAGCCCCTGGTTGTTTATCAGTGAAGCTTGGGCACACACGAGTTTCCATGATTACCACGCGCAAGCGATAACAGCGAAGGCTGCGCTATCAGGAGTTCCCTATTGCAAGCTCACCATTTCAAACAAAAGTAAAAGTAAGTCGAGAAACAATAAACCAACGAAATGCAAACTTCCTCAGACCACACAATGATTCCGTGCGTTTCTCGCACATGGTCACCTCAGGATCTTATGGGGAGCTTGTGCTGTTGATTCAAACAACCCATGGCTCCGAGCAACGGTATACAACAAGGTCGTGAAGGAAAGTGTCTGTGCTTTTGCTCCTTGTTCACGCTCCTACATAAGCTGGACTGTAGCCCCTTTCAGCTGCGCAATGTTCACGCGAAAAACCATTTTGCACAGTCCTGGTTCGTCGTTTAAGTCCCCTTTGTGCGTCATGAGTCTTTCGAGATTACTACCATGCGGGGCCACCCTGATTGACAAGGGCGTCCTGTTTCCATATACAGCTTGCCTGGTTTGCTAGTACGTGGCTTAGAATTCGAGAATGCTTGGCTGCATTTGGCTGCTGTAGGCACTAACTTCCAACATGTCCCGAGGCCCGATGCCTTTGCCAGCCATGAACTTCTTCCCCACCCTCGCAGTGAGGTTGTTAGATTTTAAAGTAAATGTTGTCCTCGCCGGACTGGAAGCTGACTTTAGTGACCAACTACCAAGTATCCCTGCAGTGCCCAACTGCAGAGTATCCCTGCAGTGCCCAACCGCAGAGTATCCCTGCAGCGCCCAACCACCAAGTATTCCTGCCACCAAGTATCCCTGCAGTGCCCAACCGCAGAGTTTCCC